TGGTGGGACAGCACCAAGCTTCAACATTTACAAACTGACCATTTTTTGCCACATGCCTCCACAAACATACATATAAAAACACATAGATAGAGTAACAGGGGACTGCTATAGACCAAGGTTCCAATAAACCTAGCTGTATACACAGAAAAGGCATTGTACAGCCTTGGCATGTAACAGGTCAAGCACACCAATAAACAAGATGACTTCACTTAACTGAATAGCGATAAGGCCAAGGCACGGTCTACAATGAAATAGCAAAATGAGGTATTGGAGCTAAATTTTGAATATAAACTTATCAAGTATGTACACAAATTGTATTCAAAGTCCCCAGAAAACTCTCCTTGTAGCCCAAGTGGTAGAACTCACATGGGGACATCACACAAAGAAAGGACAGACAGGAGAAAACTAGAATGAAGAAAAGAAAAAAGATAGAAGAAAATACGTGCCAACCCTCCATACCCTGAGCACTGTCTAAACTAAGGCATCCCCATCAGATATTGGATCCAGGGGCTCCAAGTTTTTTCCAACGTAACTTTGTCATGCAATATTACTGAGAGGCGTTCATTTACCATGATCCAGGACAGTTTGGTCTTTACTAGGTCAAATGGTCTTACAATAGACCTCTAGGACCTGGCTATCTTTTCCACTTCCAAAGTTTCACCCAGATGTCTCTCCCATTGCAGCATGTAAGATTGTTTCACAGAAGTAGTTGTTAAATAGAATATATCTCGGATATGTAGCCCCTTAGCTTGTCATATTTACAGTATTACACAAGTATTCCATGGGTGTCATTGATGTTATATCCAAAATGTTGATCCGGCAACTGATATTTTTCTATTTAGTATTGCTATGTTATTAAGCCCTTGTGGTCACATAAATCAGCAATTAGCAAAAACTTTTTATTGATCCCCCATTCAAAGGAGTGGGAGGTGAGGCCAGAGGTGAAGTCCAGATTCCAAAAAAGTGGAGCCGGAGGATTATGAAGGGATTTGAAATTGTAAACCCCGGACAACCTATCCCATGACCCAAGGAAAATAAACAAAGTTGGTCATAATACTGTTGGTCATTCTTTAAATGATAGCCACATCGTATGTGATATTGGTCTGGCTGGACATGAGCGTGACTCAGCCCACACCCACAAAGAACAAGACCTCTCTTTATTAAATCAAAATAGGCGCGCCAGTTGAGCCAGATAGAACTATTTGACTAGTTCTGGGACTCCCAGACCGTCCCTGTTGGACTGTATAGGATGCGTTTTTTCACCCTAGGGCTTTTAGCCCCCAAATGAAGGATAACATTTTCTTTCAAAATGTATGCAGGTCAGTTATGTTTATCACCATCTGAGAACAGTTTTTTCCTTGTTTGTTTCTCTCTTCTAACCAATTCTGAGCAATTTGGCCAATATAGATATTGCGGGAGAAGGTCATCCAGCGCCCAGGGCACAGATGGCAAACTGCCATGTAGGATTACAAACACTTATAAACCTTAGCACAATAATTAAGAAAAAACCCACTGCCATTGCATACAGTATGATTTGTGCACACCAAAACAGACAGAGAGCTGACACTTTGAGCCTACCTTAAAGAAGAACTTGGTTCCTCAGCAATCAGTAACTGTTGAGACAATGAACACTTTGGTGAAATGTATGAAATATACACTATGGTGTATATAGTGCAGGAGTATGTAAAGCAGAATGCAGAAGTCCGGAGCGTATAATGGAAAAAGTTCAAATGTCAGGACTGCGTGACACACAGAGTGCTGCAATCAGTGCTGGGTTTAGGAGTATAAAACACACAGAGAGTAGGGGTCAGGAGTTTGTAATGGACAGAATGCAGGGAACAGGAGTGTACCCTAGGGATCAGGAGTACAAAATGAAATGAAAAAAGTGTAGCACAAATCCCTCCATTCCATCCCTCCAGCACAAATCTCTCCCCTAAGAGCTGATTCATACATGTGCAGTGCGGATTGAAGCTCAGGTTTCACAGCTAATTGATACAGTAGTTGTTCAGCGGTTCCTGTCAGGTTTACATCAGGTTCAGGACAGGATTAGCTCAGGATTTTATCTTTTTCAGACATATGCAGTTGAGAAATGGTTCCTATAGAAATCAATAGCTTGTAATCTGCACCTGAAGGCACTGCACAGAAATCGTACATGACTCTTTTTCGAACCACACTGAATCTGTAATGCCAGTTTACCAGACATATGTGAACAGGCACTATAGGGAGCAATGTATTTACACATGTCATGCGGATTGGATGCAGTTCAAACCGCATTCAATCTGCATATATGTGCACCAGCACAAATCCCTTCTAGTACAAATCTTTTCCATCCTATTCCAATAAATCCTCCCCCCATCCCCCTTCTAGTACAAAACCTCTTCCCCTCCAAAATCCCCCCCATATCAATCCACCCTCCAGCACAAATCCTCTTCCACCCCTAATTCCCCCACCCACCACAAATCCTCTCTACCTCCTTCCTACTTTACTTTACTCTCACCGATCAATATCTACTGTCATTTGCTCCACGCACAGCCCTCAGACTGTGTATACAGCGTGCTTCAATGCCGGGGCAGAAGATATATGTCCTCCCAAGCTGCTACTCATGTTTTTTCATAGGGCAAATCAGGAGGAGCCTTGGGGAAACTTCCCTGGCTCATTTGACTAACATGACTGGCAGGAAGGGATGAGGATGATGCAGGTACTGGTGATTGCAGCAGGACAGCAGCTGGATGCTCAGCTAAGCTACAGGCACCCCCCACTCCATAATTACACCAACTGCACCTGGAGCATGTGCCCTCTCTGCCCACCCCTTGTCCTAGCCCTGAATATAGGTAAGTTAGCTGCAGGAGGAATTGTGTCCAAAGAAGAGTCAGAAGACTCACTATAGTTCAAGAATCATGAAACCATTTATTTCTTGTTTGTACATACCTCCAAACTTTGGAACTTGAAAAAGAGGGACCCCTTGGGCTGTAGAAGATGAAAATGGGTGGCTAAAAGTGAAGACCTCAGTATTCAGGAAAACAGAATGGAAATAAAAAAACATAACACGAGGAAAAATGTATATAATGAAGTCACTGAGATAAAATCTTTAGGCACAATATCATCTGACATTTGTATACAAGACAATATAATTCTCTAAAATAATCTTTCAATGAACTTTAAAGAAGAACTTTGATCTTGCTAAAAATTGTAATACACGTGAATAAAGTGCTGCGCTAAAAAAATCACAACAATAAATGTCTTAACAATATCCACAACATAAATCAGTGATAAATGGATTGCCCGTATAGTGATATCAAAAAGAACATCTTGTATGCAAATATCAGCTCAAAGGAATCAGATCCCATACATCAAGTTTATTCCACTGTGAAAGTGCAGAAATGGGAAATGGATTGGTTTTCCAAACAGTGCTGACACAAGATCCTTACCAGAGAAAAACTTGACCACTGTGTAAAGAATGGTGAAACAGCATATTTAAAGCCCAAAAACTCCGGTCTCACCGCATTCTTGGAAGCATCTGCTAGTTTATCTCATATTCTCTATATAAGAGTGCACACTCACATTATATAAAATACAATCCAAAGTACATGCATCAGATTGGTATCAATACTTTCCCACCTCTGGTAACTTGCGCAATGACATCACATCCATTAGCCCCGTCCTATGCATTTTGTTTCAGAAGACATTATCAGGGGGATTGGCATAATAAAATAATTTATACTTCTGGTGTTTATGAACCAAGTGTTGGCTGTTCAGTGTAGTGTGTGTCCCTTACAGGGCTTAGTTACATAGTTAGGTTGAAAAAAAACACAAGTCCATCGAGTTCAATCATTAGAAAAAACATGCATAAAGAGAATCTTATACCCACAGTTTATCCATTGGAAGAAAAACAATGATAAACCATGGTCCAATTTGCTCCAACAGGGGAAAAATCTTTCCTGATCCCCTAGGGCAATCAGATATTACCTGGATCAGTAATCTCTGGTGTTATTACTTATATATGTAATAGCCAGTTATATTTCATACATTTAGAAATGCCTCCAGCTTTTTTTTTAAACAATCAATCAAGCTGGCTAGAACTAGTTCCTGAGGGAGACTTTCTGAGGGAGTCCACAGCTCTTACTGTGAAGATGCCTTTCTGTATGTGGAGGTTAAACTCAGGTTAGTATGATTTATTACCTTTACAGTTTAATATTTCCAGATGCAACATAAACACAATATATTCTATACATTACATTTTTCATAAATTATGTAACTATTGTCAGTCTGTTTCTTTTTTTTATATAATCTCATTTTTATTGAAAATATTTTTCAAGACAGAATACAAAAAGCATAAGAAAGAAATGAGGAGCATAAGAACAGACGTGTTGTAACCATATATCCACATGCCATGTAACCACCTGCCCGCTGTCTGGGCAGTTAGTATAGGCAAATTCTATACCGCCCAGGGACCCCGTGGCCATACAGGAACTAAATCTCTGCGCATGACCAGTGAGTTCCAAGGTGATAAGTTGGTTGTGTTATAATAAAACTGTTATATCATAACAAAAACATGAACAAACACATTTGATAGCAACATAAAAATAGAACACAATACATGATTCAGGGTACAAACATGAAGGAAAGAAAGAAAAGTAGCAAGAGGCACAATAGGCAACTGCAAAATAACTGTGATCACAGGGCATAACACCATTTTAGATGTGAGGTAAGTGGGTAAGTGTGCAGGTGAAAGATCAGTATACCATGAGGTTGTGTATCCTCTAGAGGTTAAGGAGAGAAAGTTCATCAGGCATGTGGCAACAATCATCAGTGAAGGGGCATCGCCAACCAAGTACGTCCAACAAAACCTCTAGGGAATATAGCTTATATTGCCAGTATTGTCAGTCTGTTTCTGAACAATAAGTTGTTGGATTTGTATTTGCAGAATGAATTTTTTATGGTGCACAACCTGATAAATATTTTTGAAAGAGATGCCCGAGCAACTGCCAGAGCTGTATCAGTAAAAGAAGAAGACATTGGTCATGTGGATGATATAATGCTATTATTTGATGAATTCACATATGACAAGGTAAGAGATGTCAACTATTCCCATTAGAGCTGTAACTTACAGCAGCTGGGCCCTATTGTAAAGTCTAAACTGCTTATATCTCATACTAGAGTCTGTAGGCCTTCAGGATTAGGGGGGTTTTGACCTCTTTACAATTACAGGCTCTCAAAGGATTTCCCAATATGCCCCCATACCCATTTGCCAGACTGTCAAAGTCATCAAATCACCAGTCCTATTAGGTTCCAGTATGACTTCAAAAGATTTCAATAGCTTGGTTTTACTTTACATATTGTAAGGGGGATGGGCTCAACTGGTAGTGGTAGTGCAAAATCATGCACAAAACAGGGACACACAAGAATAATCCAAGTAGGTTTGTCCTGACTTTTAAACACAGCTCAATGCAGGAGGGTTTTAACAGCTAGCTCATAGCAAGAAAACCAAACATCAGCTCATCCGAAGCACCAACTGAACTCAGGTCTGCTGCTGAATAACAGTGTGCCCGCTAATGGGTTCATGAAAACAAACAGGCAACACATGTATCTTTTTTAACGTTCTGTCAGAGGTCAGCCTTTTCACCAGCAACAGGCTCTCACAGCAAGAAGAGAGCTCTTGGGCCTCAGTCAGCTCACACTAATTAGCGAGGCTCCCAGGTAAAACATGAACTTAGGACTTGAGGCTTTATGTCACCCAAAGCTCTACAAAGCCACCAGGCTGCAGGACCCAGGCCAGAACAAAGATTTTTTTCCTCATAACAGACACAAACCCTGGAGTCCTTCACCATATATAGGTGAAAGACCTAGGTGACACATATACACTTTCCACAACCCTGCCAGCCAGTAACATTAGGTTAATATGGTATATTATGAGGGACTTTCTCTCTTCTGAGCTGGTATATCTAGTAGTTGATAGAGAGAGATTTTCTCTCTCTGTGCTCATAGGGACCCTTCCACTTTGGCAGAAATGAAATCTCTACAATGGGTGACAAAACTAAGACTCTTTCTCCCAGGTTGAAGGTTCTAATTTTAACAGACCAGTTATAAACTCTGGCCTGCGCCTCTTAGGCTTGTTGCATTATTTATTTAACATAGGTCATAATTGCCACTATCCAATCCTGCATGTTAAGAATGTGTTTGATTTAACTTTTGTGAGGTGTGGCATCATGCTATATACCTGAGGGTCCCCAGGGACATCTCTGCTACACAAGTTATAACAGGGAATACCCTGTAGAGGACTGTGGCACTTCCCTGACAAAACTTAAATTATGACTCCAGAGTTTTCTGATTTGGCTGTCCTTTCTCTGCTGTACCTCTACCTACCCTTTTCGGACAACAACGTTAGAACATATCCATCTCAAGGTTCTCCGGGCCTCATCTCCCTTCTCTATGCATTGCTAAATAGTCGATCGTCCTCCACCTCTCTTTCTTACATGACCCAGTGGGAACAGGGCGTTTGAGATAAAACCAGCAGACTGGAGCAAGGCCTGGCCTTCTGTTGCCAAATGTTCATTTAACACTGCCACCTTAGAGGTGGAATACAAAATGCTTCTATGGTGGTATTGGGTCCCTACCCCAATAGCCCATGCCATTCTGACTCTCATTGACTGCTGTTTTCGGGGCTGTGGCCATCACGGAGATGTTTTGCACACTTGGTGGATGTGTCCATGCTTAGCAAGCTTTTGGTCTCGAGTTTTTGGTTTATTGCGCACCCCACTCCATCTGAACATCCAGAAGGATGCTAAATTCCCACTGTTACATTGTCCTTTTCTGTGCCTGTATGCCCACCAGCAAAAATTGGCATTCTACCTATTTTTTTATCAGCCAAAAGAATGATTGCCCAGGCCTGTGAAAACCTTCCCTTTCAAGGAATACATGACCACATGACGGCCTTGATGCTTAATGAACACATGTCTAGCATCCTCAACGACTCCAATGCCAAATTTTTAATGATTTGGGAAATGTGGCTGTCATATGCCTTTCCTGTCCTCCCTTTGCATAGTGTGGGACACCTAGGATTGACATTCCTGGTGATCTTGAGTGCCTATCTTTTTTTTCTGTTTTGGCCTTACCGTCTTTAGCTTCCTTCCCTCTTTGTTTTCTTTCTCTCCCAATGGGACTATGTCCCCTCCTTTCTGGTCTCTGTATGGGCCCATTGCTTATTGTACAGTTGTCTATTACTCACTCTGTCCAGGCTTGCAATTTGCCAGGTGGAGCTTTCCTGGACCCCCCTCCCATTATGGTGTTCCTATTAATTTTGTCTGTAAACTGCTGCTGATGTTTTCCCTCTACACTTTACTTGCACCATATAAGCTTAAATGTACTTATGCTGTCATCCTTCAGGATAAGTTTTACACCCTGCTCTATCAAAGTCTATAAGTCAGTTCCTGCTCCACCATTTGCCTCTCTCACAGGTCCTATATCTGCTGCTGTAGAGACAGGTTCTCTTGCTGCTGTCTTTTCAAGAAAGCCTGGTGGGCTTCAGCCAGCGGTCACATTTGCTGGGTGTTTATGGAGTTTGTTGCATTCCAATCAACATTTGCTGATATACAGTCAGGTCCATAAATATTGGGACATCGACACAATTCTAACATTTTTGGCTCTATACACCACCACAATGGATTTGAAATGAAACGAACAAGATGTGCTTTAACTGTAGACTGTCAGCTTTAATCTGAGGGTATTTACATCCAAATCAGGTTAACGGTGTAGGAATTACAACAGTTTTCATATGTGCCTCCCACTTGTTAAGGGACCAAAAGTAATGGGACAGAATAATAATCATAAATCAAACTTTCACTTTTTAATACTTGGTTGCAAATCCTTTGCAGTCAATTACAGCCTGAAGTCTGGAACGCATAGACATCACCAGTCGCTGGGTTTCATCCATGGTGATGCTCTGCCAGGCCTCTACTGCAACTGTCTTCAGTTCCTGCTTGTTCTTGGGGCATTTTCCCTTCAGTTTTGTCTTCAGCAAGTGAAATGCATGCTTAATCGGATTCAGGTCAGGTGATTGACTTGGCCATTGCATAACATTCCACTTATTTCCCTTAAAAAACTCTTTGGTTGCTTTTGCAGTATGCTTTGGGTCATTGTCCATCTGCACTGTGAAGTGGCGTCCAATGAGTTCTGAAGCATTTGGCTGAATATGAGCAGATAATATTGCCCAAAACACTTCAGAATTCATCCTGCTGCTTTTGTCAGCAGTCACATCATCAATAAATACAAGAGAACCAGTTCCATTGGCAGCCATACATGCCCACGCCATGACACTACCACCACCATGCTTCACTGATGAGGTGGTATGCTTAGGATCATGAGCAGTTCCTTTCCTTCTCCATACTCTTCCCTTCCCATCACACTCTGGTACAAGTTGATCTTGGTCTCATCTGTCCATAGGATGTTGTTCCAGAACTGTGAAGGCTTTTTTAGATGTCATTTGGCAAATTCTAATCTGGCCTTCCTGTTTTTGAGGCTCACCAATGGTTTACATCTTGTAGTGAACCCTCTGTAGTTACTCTGGTGAAGTCTTCTCTTGATTGTTGACTTTGACACACATACACCTACCTCCTGGAGAGTGTTCTTGATCTGGCCAACTGTTGTGAAGGTGTTTTCTTCACCAGGGAAAGAATTCTTCGGTCATCCACCACAGTTGTTTTCTGTGGTCTTCCGGGTCTTTTGGTGTTGCTGAGCTCACCGGTGCGTTCCTTCATTTTAAAAATGTTCCAAACAGTTGTTTTGGCCACACCTAATGTTTTTGCTATCTCTCTGATGGGTTTGTTTTGTTTTTCCAGCCTAATGATTGCTTGCTTCACTGATAGTGACAGCTCTTTGAATCTCATCTTGAGAGTTGATAGCAACAGATTCCAAATGCAAATAGCACACTTGAAATTAACTCTGGACCTTTTATCTGCTCATTGTAATTGGGATAATGAGGGAATAAAACACACCTGGCCATGGAACAGCTGAGAAGCCAATTGTCCCATTACTTTTGGTCCCTTAACAAGTGGGAGGCCCATATGCAAACTGTTGTAATTCCTACACCGTTCACCTGATTTGGATGTAAATACCCTCAAATTAAAGCTGAGAGTCTGCAGTTAAAGCACATCTTGTTCGTTTAATTTCAAATTCATTGTGGTGGTGTATAGAGCCAAAAATGTTAGAATTGTGTCGCTGTCCCAATATTTATGGACCTGACTGTAAGCTGCTTTACAAGCGCCTCCTTTTGTTCAATAATAGTTCATTGTCTCTTTAAGACACTGCCCTCTTCCTCCACTAAGTTGTAAAGGGAACAGGCTTAGATGATATTGCTAGCGGTCATCCCTTTCCCGGAAAAGCAGGCTATCACAGCAGAGAGAGAGAGCCTTGGGCATCAGTCAGCTGACATATATCTAAGCTGCGGACAGATTAGACTAATTAGTGAAGTTCTGCTACAAGGTAAGATGTGGACCTGGGAATAAGGGTTTTATCCCATCCAAAGCTCTACAAAGACTTTAAGCTCCAGAATAAGCTCAGAACTTCAGATCTGAGAAAACAAAAATATTTGTTTCCTTCAATACACACACAAACCCTGGAGCTGCTCACATGTATAGATGAAAATGGTAGATGAAACATATACAGCATCCAATACAGCTTCCACAACCAGCCAGCCAGTGTCTCCTGATATTGATAGCTATGAAATAAACAGCTGAAAGAAAATAAGGATTTTCTGATACTTGTTCACATAAACACAGCAATTCACAAATAAGCAAACTAGCTACAATTAGCCAAAATTCACACTAGAATGCTGTGCGGCAAACCATGCACCTTTCCTGCACCGCATTTAAAATGCACTGCCTTTGCAATTTGCTGTCAGTGTAATCTTATTGATACCCCAAAAGCAGTAAGTTTGCCTGCACTGGATCCCATGGTACAAAACGACCATGCAATCCAGTTGTAGTGCGATTCTAAAATTGGTGCATGCATGACTTTGGTCTGATGTGGTGCAATTTGAGGCCATTCAGACTGAATGGGCTCAAACTGCACTGCACTGAATCTCATTTAAAACTGCATAGGAATGCAGTGTGGTTCATGTGCGATTCATATACGGTTCATAGTGTACATAGGCACAAGGACTACTGGATAGCCTTTCATGGAATTTAATGATCTGTAGTCATCTGCCACTTATGGTTTGTTTTGAGTGACCAGATCAGCAAAATTTGCCTTGAAGCTACTTAAAATGCCTATTGACTGCCACTGGATGGTTTTGTTAAATTTCTACAGTAATTCCAGAAATTTGGTTTCTAGAAACAAAGTACCAATTAAAACACTGGGTGAACAATTAATGTGGACTGTTCATTTCTAAGTGATTTTAATCCTTATTGCCAGTGTCTGCTGACACTTCTCTCACCTCTGATTGCACTTGAGGTGTTACCTGTCACATGCAAGGCGAATTTAGAGAATGTGTAAAAGAGCACTGACTCTTGCCCTTCCCAGAGATATCTATTACTGATCTTGTGGATGTGTATCCCTACAGCACTCAGGCAGACATTAAAGCCAGCCATCACTGGCTCTGATATAAGTTCACTGACAAATGATGTTTAGCAATGGGTAAAACCTGATGGGTTGCAACAGCTTCTTACATTTCTTGGAGAGTTCAACAGCAAGCTGTCCCTGCCCTAGTTCCTGACTAAAAGCTTTGGTTGTTGTTTCCCACTTTTGTTCCAGGTCAGAGCGTCATTCCCCGAGATATAAAATATATAATAAATGCAACAGGTTGAATGACATACAGTGTATATAAAAAGTCTACACACCCCTGTTAAAATGCCAGGTTTCTGTGATGTAAACAAATTAGACAAAGATAAATCGTTTCAGAACTTTTTCCACCTTTAATGTGACCTATAAACTGTACAACTCAATTGAAAAACAAACTGAAATCTTTTAGAGGAGGGAAGTAAACATAAAAAAACTAAAATAATGTGGTTGCATAAGTGTGCACACCCTCATATAACTGGGGATGTAGCTGTGCAGAATTAATCAATCACATTCAAAATCATGTTAAATAGGAGTAAGTACACACCTGCCATCATTTAACGTGCCTTTGATTAACCCAATGTTTCTCAACTCCAGTCCTCATGGACCCCCAACAGGTCATGTTTTCAGGATTTCCCTCAGATGAAACAGCTGTGGTAATTACTAAGGCAGTGAAACTGATCAAATCACCTGTGCAAAATAATGGAAATCCTGAAAACATGACCTGTTGGGGGTCCATGAGGACTGGAGTTGAGAAACACTGGATTAACCCTACATAAAGCTTAGCTGTTCTAGTAGGTCTTTCCTGACATTTTCTTAGTTGCATTCTACAGCAAGAGCCATGGTCCGCAGAGAGCTTCCAAAGCATCAGAGGGATCTCATTGTTAAAAGGTATTAGTCAGGAGAAGGGTACAAAATCATTTCCAAGGCATTAGATATACCATGGAACACAGTGAAGACAGTCATCATCAAGTGGAGAAAATATGGTGCAACAGTGACATTACCAAGAACTGGATGTCCCTCCAAAATTGATGAAACAACGAGAAGAAAACTGGTCTGGGGGGCTGCCAAGATGCCTACAGCAACATTACAGGAGCTGCAGGAATATCTGGCAAGTACCGGCTGTGTGGTACATGTGACAACAATCTCCCGTATACTTCATATGTCTGGGCTATGGGGTACAGAGGCAAGATGGAAGCCTTCTCTAACGATGAAAAACTTCCACGTTTGGCTACATTTTGCAAAAAAAACATCTGAAGTCTCCCAAAAGCATGTGGGAAAATGTGTTATGGACTGATGAAGCCAAGGTTGAACTTTTTGGCCATAATTCCAAAAGATATGTTTGGCGCAAAAACAGCACTGCACAGCACCAAAAGAACACCATACCCACAGTGAAGCATGGTGGTGGCAACATCATGCTTTGGGCCTGTTTTTCTTCAGCTGGCACTGGGGCCTTAGTCAAGGTAGAGGGAATTATGATCAGCTCCAAATACTATTCAATATTGGTACAAAACCTTCAGGTTTATGCTAGAAAGTTGAACATGAAGAGGAAATTCATCTTTCAACATGAAAACTACTCAAATCAACAAAGGCATGGCTTCACCAGAAGAAGATCAAAGTTTTGGAATGGCTCCGCCAGAGCCCAGACCTGAATCTGATCAAAAATCTGTGGGGTGATCTGAAGAGGGCTGTGCACAGGAGATGCCCTTGCAATCTGACAGACAGATTTGGAGTGTTTTTGCAAGGATGAGTGGACAAAGATGTGCCATGCTAATAGACTCATACCCAAAAAGACTGAGTGCTGTAATAAAATCAAGAGGTGCTTCAACAAAGTATTAGTTTAAGGGTGTGCACACTTATGCAATCATATTATTTTAGTTTTTTTACTTTTACTTACCGCCACCTAAAAGATTTCAGTTTGTTTTTCAACTGAGTTGTACAGTTTATAGGTAACATTAAAGGTGGAAAAAGTCCTGAAATTATTTATCTTTGTCTCATTTTTTTACATACACCAACAATTCTCCTCCTGCACTCAGAGACCCAGATTAGGAAATAATTGACTGACCATCCTTGGAGAAATAGATCCACCAAATGAGCAATACTGTGCAGCCCTTTTAGAAGGCTGGGGAAGCCAAGTACAATGCTGTGCATTACCTCAGTGGCAAGAAATTTATTGAAGGATAAAACAGATGTACAGTATGCTCACAAACGCCAAAATTTCATAAGCATATTATATCCAATACTGGACAATCAGACCAGAGCCCTTTGTGAATCCCAAGTGGAGGAAGACCCTAAAATATCTGACGCATTTCAAATGGAGATCCCTTCCTTAGAGCCAGTCATTTTGTTTACATCACAGAAACCTGACATTTTAACAGGTGTGTAGACTTTTTATTACCACTATATGGCCACATAATGACATAACAGGTGTCCAAACCAAGGCAGTCCAGCACTGATATCTCACTACTAAAGAGCACAAGAAATATAAGATGTCAGTAATTTATCTGAAATATTGGTTTTGGGTTGACTGATCCTATTGCTTATCTAATTTAAATAAATCAATCTTTGTTAACTAAGTCATTAGTTATATATATATTATACTGAATGCTACTGAAAATATTAGCACATACTTACACAAAGTATCCACTTCTCTGTAGGCATCTGCTTTGCTCCGAATGGCTTCCACCTTCCTGACAGAGAAACTCTTCATCAAAGGGATCAGCGTGAGTTTAGAAAATCATTTTTGGAATTTTTGAACTTTTGGCAATATAAGACTAGACAGACACAGCTGATTCATTGATACACCATGGATCTCTCTCCTCAAGAAGTAATGCACCTTCCATTTGTCTCATCACAGTCATACTTGAAGAAATTTTCATTCTCAAATGCTGACCAGGATGATCTGTGGAATCATATGCAAATGGTACTTTTTCTATTTTCCTCCATCTATATGACATAAAACATTTACTAGTGGTTTCTCTTAGGCTACTAACTTTCCATATGTTGCATTGTGAATTGCATTCTTACACCTGCTTTTTAATACACATTTCTAGTTGTGTTCCTGAGAGAACCTTCCCATGCAAAAATACGTTGCCATTGTTAACTTTTCAAAAGAAGAAATAGGGGGTCATATCTATATCTATTCAAAATGGAAGAAAATCCAGTACATAAAAGGACCCCCAACAAAGAAAAACTACAGGACTTTAACCGTTTCAATACCGTGCAATTTTACACCTTCCTGCCCAGGCCATTTTTCAGGTTTCAGCGCTCTCACACTTTGAATGACAAGCGGTCATACAACATTGTACCCAAACTAAAATTTTATCATTTTCTTCACACAACTAGAGCTTTCTTTTGGTGGTATTTAATCACCGCTGGGGTTTTTATTTTTGTCTAAATTAACAAAAAAAGACCAAAAATTTTTTGAAAAAAAACATACATTTTTCTTTTTTTGTTATAAAAGTTTACAAATAAATAATTGTTCTTCATAAATTTAGGCCGAGATGTATTCTACTACATGTCTTTGGTGAAAATAACCCAAATTAGGATGTATTTTTTAGTTTGTAGGAAGGTTATAGAGTTCACAAACTGTGGTATAGATCTGAATATTGATCAATCCTGAAGTACTGGCAGCCAATCTAATTTCTTGAGGTCCAAGAATGTCAGAACAGTACAGATATCCCCCAAATGACCCCTTTTTGCAGAGTAGACAGTCCGACGTACTTCATAAGAGGCATGGCGAGTTTTTTTGAAGTTGTATTTTTTTGTCATAATTTTTCGGAAAATGAAAAAATTTAAAAAATTATTTTCACTATTTTTTTTTTTACATACTGTCACCAGTGCAGTACAGCGTCATCATATAACTGGCATTGCGGTTAACAGGGACACTGACTGGTGACAGTATGAAAAAAAAAAATATATATATATATATTTTTTTTTTATTATATTTCATTTTTTATTACTTTTTTTTATTTTTTTTTAAGATTTTTTTTTCATATTTTACTATGACCAAAGTAGTACAATGTTACCATAGTAACATTGTACTACTTTAGGGAAGTGATCAGTATTTTTTTTTTTTTTTTTTTTTTTACACAATTTGCTTATAGCAAAGAATTACTTTGCTATAAGCATGCATTTGCCTGAATGAAATCGATTCATTCAGCTTTTTTTTTCTTTTTTTTTTTTGTGCTTAGCTGTGATTTGGTCACAGCTAATCACATGACATGTGCATGTGATTAGCTGTGACCATTCACAGCTAGGCACTAGTATACAATGGATGGCATCATGAATGAAGCCATCCATTGTATACAACTGTCATGTGACCTGCTGTGATTGGTCACAGCAGGTCACATGGTACCAGCAACGGGAGCCGGTACTCGGATCTGTCATCGGCCGTGTCCGAGGTGCATGGCCGGTGACAGATCGCACTTCTGCGCCGCTCTGCATTAGCGCAAACGGCGCATGTGCGAGAGCACGCCAAATGGAGTGCACCCGGAATGAAGAGACACATCTGAAGCCGCCAAACGGCCCATTGGCCGGGCGGCTAATGGTTAAAGGTACCAAGTCATAACAACATTATTAAAAAAAATTGCATATTTTTATTCTTGCCATTACAAATGTTGAAGATAAAACACGTTTGATGCTGTTCCTCATACATACGAGTTTCATCTACATCATCCCAGATACCCCAATACATATAATTAACTGTATTTGATTATTTCATAATGCACCATTTCATTGTTTAATTCAAGCATTGGGATAACAAAGACTTAATGCATCCAGCATTTTAACCCGAGAGGAGGGGCCTCACCAACCAGCCATCAATGGGGCAACATAAGCCAAAAAAAAAGCCTCATATGGCACTGTAAACATATAAAATATATATTTTATAGTTTGGGGGTAAAATACTCTGCTCATGCAGTGTCATGTAAATGTATTTAAGATAACATAGAATCAGATATAAAATCCTAAACTGTCATATATACTTGCATATGAAACATGAAGCATCAATTTATTTATAAAAATCAAAATTAATATCTCTTTCATTAAAACTTTACAATACCTATCACATCAATAAAAAAATAGCATACCTCCCAGTGTTGAATGGATATTAAAAACTCCTTAAATCTATGATAACCACCAAGCCATAATGATCTTGTGCAATACAATGAAAATTACTTCAGCATGGGTTTGATTTACTAAAGGCGAATAGGCTGTGCATTTTGCAAGTGCATTTGCTCCAGAATTTAGTAAATTAGCCAAAGGTCTGGTGACTTCAACCATCCAATCATGTGCAAGAAAAAATGCTGTTTTTTTTTATTTTCCCTGCATGTGATTAGATATTCTTTGTAAAGTGAAGCTTTATCTCATTTACTAAGCTCTGGTGAAACTGCACTTGCAAAGTGTATAGTCTGTTTTCCTTTATTAAATCACCACCCTTCAATGGCCTGGGCCCCCTCCTGCTTCTGGAACTGGTCCCACCAAAAAACGTGACAGAATAGCATCACAATGTAAATATATGTTATGATGTACCAACGCAAAAGTTTAAAACGTCATTACCAGTTCCAGAAACTAGACATTTTGGGGTATCTGAGGTGAACTGATACATGTGAACTCATATGTATGAGGAACAGCATTTGTAACATGTTTTTTTCTTCAACATTTCTAATGACATGAGTAAAAATATACAGTACTATTTTATATAATGTTGTTATGGCTTGGTACCTTTAAAGTCCTGTCGTTTTTCTTTGTTAGGATCCTTTATATATGCCATTGCTAACTTGTTTTAGAAAGTGCAAGCTCCAAGGCCATCATTTCTTTCCTTGCATCATAAATAAGTCACAGATCTAGAACATGTATGCAGGTCAGGAGCTCTGATTTTGCAGGTTTCATATTTGTTCCTGGTGGTCTGTGGGCTCACTAAGTAGTAAAGCAAGGATGAGAGCCTTGATATTTGATAGATGTATCAGAACATGACATTCTTAGCAAATGCTATAGCAATATTGCAAATAACATGCACGTTTTGGTATTCTGCTCTGATCTACCCCATGAACAATGCTTGAAAAATGTAATGTATGGTATTACTTTTTTAAAAATGTAACTTAAATAAGTTTGTGTTGAATGTTACATCATTCATCATGACATAAATAAACCGTGCTGGTAAAACTATAATGGCTTGCATACTCTTACTGGGTACCCTGATAACTGGGGGTAGTTTAGTGGTCTGTCCAATTAACTAAACACTCCAACACTGTAATACTCTATATCAGGCTTATTTTCAGGGAGCCAGTCTGTGAGCTCACTAGGAATGTAATGGAAGCGTATTTCTTCAAGCTTGTGCTATGTAATTTCTGCTCTGTCCCTTTTTAATGGATCTTCAATCACGTGCAACATCCAAGTCAGATCTCAATCTGATTGCTGGCTGAAAGGTTGTTGGCTTTCCCTTTCATCTCTATATATAACCCGCAGTTGTACCTGTGTACTGCAGAATAGTCATCTAGCTCAAAACTGCATGGAAGCACTGCCAAAGTCATTGGAGGGCTGGGTAGTGGGGAGTGGGTCTGAGGTTTGTGTGTGGTATATTAGACCAGCCTTTCTCAACCACTTTAGCCTGGTGGAACCCTAGAAGTTATTTTGAAGTTTCAGGGAAACCCTGCTAAAATTTGTATCTACATTTCATGGTATAAAAGCATCAGTGAACTGTTAACAGTGTTACATAAAAGAATAAATATTAAATGCCTAGAATATTTGATACCCAGAGCCATTTTTTTATAGCACTTCTTTTTCAATAATATTTAGGAAAACAATAAATAATATTGGCCAGAGAAGAAAGAGACTGAAAAAACTCAAGTGTCTTTTTATGTTTTTGGTCAGTGGAGACATACCCACTTACATTTGTTGTCAGTGGAAAATTGCCCTGTTACATTGGTAGTCATAGTAGGTGGAACAACAGTCTGTCATTGCTCAAAGAACCCCTGTCAATCTCTGGAGGAATCCTAGTGTTCCAGGGATCCTTGGGTAGCCTCCCTAGCGGTCTGATTATGTCAATATTTCTGTGCTCAAAGCAATACATTTTTTTGCATGGAAATATGTATATTTTTATTGTAGGCCTGTAATTTTTAGGAATAACTCACTGAAATCTGGCTGAACAAGAGTCTAGTAAACATCCCGAGTATGTTAAAATTTGAAACACGAAATCATAAATGATAATTTAATAACTAATCATAAAAATAATAATATAATATTAATAAATTTAATTCAATAATATAATCAAACCAAAAACACGGAAATTTTAAATATAGCGCCAAGTTCGCACATCACTGAGAGAAGTCGCGAAATCGTTTTCAGTGTCTGATGACGAATTTCCCCACGAATCATTATCACTCAATTCTGCAAGTAGTTCTAATTTACTATCGCTGTTCTCTAGCTGGTCTAAAACCGCTTTTGACCTAAAGGGACGCTTTTTGGACGCCATGGACATTTCTCAGTTTCAAGGCAGAAAGAATGTTAAAAATGCAGGCAGGGCACAGGACAAAGCACTAGGGATAAAATGTATGTGAAATGGTTTGATACAGTAATGTTTTACTATGTGATTTTAGTGTATTTAGTGAATGTCACTTTTTCACATTTTTAAATTTCCTGCCGTTTCGTCCCCGTACGTCCTGACATCGCAGGGAACGGAACCCAGAAGACAGATGCCGGCATCGGCTGGAGGACATTGCCGGGGACACTGCAGGAGGGACATCGCGGGAGCGAAGGACAAGGTAAGTGAAGAAAAGATCCCGGAGCAACGCTGCAGGGTATTCCCGAGTGTAGCACGGGGTTACCGCTTGTGGTGCTGAAAATTTACCCCGAGCTACACTCGGGACTACCTCCAGGGAGGTTAAGAAAGCTTGTAGTGGACTATGGCACAGGAGTGGGTCAGGGAAACCCATATATGGGGTTTATATTCTATTAAACCTTAATCTTAGTGCACGGTCACACTGGTGCGATTTCAGGTGCTATTTGCGAATTGAAATTGCACCTGAAATCGCATCCAATAAATGTGAATGTCAGTGTCTTAACATGTGCGAATTGCTGCAGCGCGATTTCTATAGTAGTTCTTGCATTACTTTTTCTGCAGTTTTTGTGCGATTTCACTTACATAGAATATAATAGAAATTGCCCTGCAAATTGCAAGAAATTGTTGAAAATCTTCACAAGTAATAATTTAGACTTCAGAAATCGCACTGAAATTGCACAACAGTGTGACCGGTGACTTAAAGTAAATGCCTAATCTCTAACCTAAACACAGAATCCTCACAACTCTCCTACAAATGATAACAGTGCAGAACTGTGCGCGTCAATATTGAGTAATTATTATAAATCAAAAGTAGCTTCAGTTTAGTTTCCTTTGCAGCAGTTTAAGATGATTTCTCTTGCTCATGCTCATTGGATTAGATGAGTGCAACATCTGTTGTGTGTCTGGACAATCTAATGGAAAATGTTCTCATTAGAACACTAGGACATAAAAAAATACACTTTTAAAACTGGGATGTTACTGTTTTTGTATAATTCTGATTGGATTGCTCTTCTAGTTGGTTATGTCTTTTGGGTGCTCAGAGTAATGGAGATTGAGAAAGCTTGTCTAAATTGTGCTTTATACAGCATACTATTACTGCAATTTCCTTTGTAAATGTATTGACTTGATTACTTCCTTAGTTCTCTAATCACACTCCAGAATTATTGCCTTTATGTTCTAACATGGAATTGATGGCAATGGTTTAACAGTGCATGTATGTTTGTGATGTCCTGTAAACATAGCTTATCAATTAGAAAATGAGTGTGTCCTATAGCCACTTGAGCTCTGGAAGGTTTTACCCCCCCCCCCAAGACCAGGGTATTTTTTCTATTCAGCACTGTGCTAGTTCAGCTGGCAATTGCGTGGTCATGCAACGCTGTACCCAAATCAAATTGATATAATTTGTTTCACACAAATAGAGCTTTTGTTTGGTGGTATTTGATCACCACTGTTTTTTTTTATTTTTTATTATATAAACAAAAAAACAAAACAAAATAAAAAAGAATATTTTTTCATTTCTGTTAGAAAAAAAAGTTCAATTAATTAAAAAAAAAAAAAATCAAATTTCTTCATAAATTGAGGTCAAGATGTATTCTGCTACATGTCTTTTGTAAAATACAAATCCCAATAAGTTTATATTAATTGGTTTGTGCAAAAGTTATAATATCTACAAAACTATATGCTGCTGGAATTTACACAGCTATAGACGCTAAACTATAATAGTGATGATCAGCAACTTATGGTAGGACTGTGATAGGGTGGTGGGAAATAAGGCGCTAACAGACACGATCTGGGAGGGTCACTAACTGACACTGCCATCACTAGAGACAAAAATACAGTGACCAGCGATAATACTGTACACTGACACTGTACTAATGACACTGGCTGGAAAGGAGTTAACATCTAGCGGCAATCAAGGGGTTAACAATGTGCCTAACAATGTGTAATGTGTGTTATATGTGCTGCTTTTTCTTTACTATCTGGCTGTTTTTTCTCCCTGCTTTTCAGGGAGAAGAAACAGCCAGACTCTGTTCCTATGCACACAGAGTTCTGTGTGTTTGTAAACACAGAACTCTGTGTGTGATTGGATAGAGCCAATTAGCTTTCAGCCAAAATGATTGGCTGAAATCTGCTGGCAAACTCATGCTGTGTCCAAACCTGAAAGAAAGTCCCAATGTACAGGTACGTAATTGTGCCTGTACCTGCCACCCACTTGCAGTATATTTACTGTGAGTGGTCGGCAGGTGGCTAGAAATATTTAATTTTCAATATATATGTTTAATATTTACCTAGATCAGGTTAGATTAGGACTTGGAATATTGAGCCAATGGGTTTTAGGTTAAACGTGAACTTGTCCTTTAACTAATATTAACTAATTTTATTGAAGCATGAATGTATACTGTTAAATCAAGGTCAGCAGCATATGCCATTTTCTAAGTTTATAGATGACCAAGATGAAGTTCAGTTGCCAACATCACTGAAAAAGATCATGGATTCATGGACATGGCAAAAGGGCTTACCACTAGTGACAATTAACACATCTACCGGGACACTGACCCAAGATCAGTTCAAGACAGCTTATGCTGATAACACCACAAGCGATAACAAGTATGTTGCTGCTGTACATACAGTAGTCTGTATTGTTTGTTGTAACCAGCTTATTGTTCACTGCGATGCTCTTAGATAAAGAAGAGACATTGGTTTAAAATTTAATTTCAAGAAAAATGAAATGATTATTAAAAAAAAAAACATTAAATATATAACTCTATAACAAACTGTGCTGTGCTATAACAAAGCTTATTGTGCATATTTAAAGTTAAGAAGTAGTGTATCAACTCAAAGAAAAAAGACAAAACGTCCACTTGGAATTTAAAGTCCACTTACCAATTCCAATATTCCACCTAAGGAACAAGAGCAAATAGTGCATCCCAAACCAGTGAAACAAGCTATTACCATGGGTAGATTTGCAGAGGCTTACCAGAGTCTCATGACCCCCTATATAAATAGAAAGGTCATAAAACGTATGGGTTATTTTCCCTGGATCCCTATAAGGCAGGCAAGTTGATAGTAGATCAGACTCAGGAATACTCACAGATGTTCAATCACTTTCACACAGAGCACAAAAGGAACTCCAATGGCTGTTTTACAGGACACTTCTGATTTTACACGCAAAAAAAAAATAAAAGGAGAGCCATGCTCCATATAGTGAAAATCAGCCGCCACTCTTTTATTAAAAACTAAAATTTAACTCACATGTGAAAAAATCAAGACAGCGTTGCAAAAAAACCTCAATCCAAACTCAGCATGGTATGCGCTGGAGTCACGTGCATGGCTCTACCCTGATATGTTTCATCAAATGTGACATTCTCAAAAGACTAAATGTATAAAACTGCTTATATCCTATGCATTTAGTGCAGTTTAGGCTACACTGCTGGGAAAGGTTGATCCCCTCTTCCCCTTTAGATGATCAAGTTATTTGAGCATGCAAATTGCTATTTTATGTACCTGATTGTTTTTATTAGTTCTGATTGTCATTCATTAATTGTTATAGTAAAGAGCAATCATTACACTATATGACTTTTAACCAAGATCACACGATTTTTAAATCTTATGTGAAAAAGTGTGAATCTTAGGTGAAAGTTGTGCGAATCTTGTGTAAAAACATTCATAATTAGGCTGAAAGTTCAAATTCACACAAAGTGTTGGATTCTTCTCACCAATTTCCACCCAAGACTAGCACTATGTATTTAATTTTTTATAGAGAATAAATCTACGTTTGGTTCTAAGGCATATTTCATGTTTAAAGTCTTTCAATCAATGCTGTAGTCTGTGAGTGGTTAATAAAGCTTACATTTTCCTGTAGGTTTCCTGTTACAGGGTGCTGTTTAGATCAGGATTTGGCAGATCAGTTTAAAAACATATCTTTTCATTTCAACTTATACTCACACTATAAAAGCAATGAATAAACCTAAAATATGCACAGTTCTGGCCCCAAGCCAATCCTTTGACCGTTTTTTCTGCTTGAGAAAGGCAATATATGACTGCATTGATCTTGGATATATATTATAAAAAGCATGCATGTCTTTACACACATAAATGGACTACAGCATATTTTTCTACAGTCATACATGGATTATTCCCATCTCTTGGATGAAAAATGGAATACAGCAACCAACAGTATGGCTAGACACAAAGACAAGTAAGTACTTATTACCTTTGTCATGTCATTTATATATTTTAGCTAATGCACAATATAATTTTTCATGTAATTATATAAAAGGCCAACAAAAATATTCCACACATTTATAAGAAACACATTTATAGTCACTTGGCTACACAAATTCACCTGGCAGGGGCAAGCTAGTGCATGGCACCCCTGCTTTGCATCTCCTGTTGTGTGCCCCAAGTCCCTAGTGCCAAGATCTCCCTCTCTTCAGCTGCCAGCATTTCTCCCTGCCAACTGCCTGTAATATCAGTACATGTCAGCTAGGCCGCTGCTTGGCTCTGACATGTATCATGCACAAGAGGAGGAAGAGCCAGGAGTACGGATGTCCCCCTGATCGGAGGTCTGTTTCAGGGATGGAAAATTGCACTGGAGGGGCACATGACCTGGTGGAGGCAGTTAAAAAAGATTTGTGCTGGTAATGGACTTATGCTGGGAGGGGAGGATTTATTCTGGGGAGAGATTTGGAAGGGGAGGATCTTTCTAGTAGGGGGGGAGATGGTTGAAGGGAGGGGGATTTTTGTTAGAAGGTGGGATTGGAGGGGGGGGGGGGGGGTATTTGTGTTAGAAAGAGGTGGGGGGGGATTTGTACTAGAAGAGGTGAGAGCATTTGTACTGGGAGGGGGAACTTGTGCTTGAAGAGGGAAATCGGTGGAAGGAAGATATATATGTATTATGGTGGAAGGGACTCAGGGAATGCCAACAGTCCACAAGTTAGGGGGTACAGTACTTGCCTTGCTCCGGGCTCTGGCAACCCATGCTAAGCCACTGGATCAACAGAAGTTCGAAACGAGGACTACTTTCAGTAGTAAAAGCTTATTTAAGAGAAAACAATTTTGCTAGAATACATTTACAATTATTATTATACAAGTGCTGAATGCACCAGTTTTAGTAAAACTCCCCCTAACGTATCTTCCCAAACAGTTTAGGCGAGAGGCACACATGTGTAAAACAGAATTCTGTTGCTGGGACTTTGTATCTAGCTTTCTAAAGATATCATATGATAATAATTACTGGTTAACATTCAAAATGTAGTCTTGCTTTCCCATTTTCAGAAACTTTCCCAGAAATGACTACAATGGATAATGAATGGATTCTACTAAATATTAATGTAACTGGGTACTACAGAATAAATTATGATGAAAAAAACTGGGATAATCTTGCAAAAACGCTTGAGGAACAACCACAGGTAACGCTTACAATGAATTTACTACAGTTTAGTATCTGTATTCCAAAATATCCTAAATAAGTTAAAAAGTGATTTGTAAACACGGATCAAAGAAAACTTAAACTATGAAATCCCTGACAAAGAACCTCTCTTATTTGCTATCTTTTGGTATGTTAAATATACCATTGCTGCATATCTAGTGGACCTGTCCAGTGTTAGCCAGGTTTTGGAGTTATTTAAACTTCATACTTACCCAATTCAAATGTCCTTTCCCTAAAGACCCTTGGCCTGTGCTTCTCAACCTCAAACCTCCCGCTTTCACAAAATCTCAATTTAATCTACCATGTATGTGTTGTCAGTGGCCAAACAATGTATCGTTAAAGCATATGCAGTAAGCATTTTGTATACTTTATGAAAGTTAAACAATACATGGACCCATTTGTTAATGAGAAACATATAAGTATATTTATGGATATCCACAAGAAATGTCTTAAAGTCTGGTCCCCATGAATCTAATGCACCCTTGCTTTCACCCCGACCTGATAGCTTCACACACACACCCATTTAGTTTTTTCCCTCCTGCTTTTTGCCCCCTATTCCTTTCCTCTCTGCTTTCCTTCCTCAACTGCAGAGAGAGCGCTGTGTATTTTCTCTACTCCAGCTATTAACATGAAATTGGTATAAGTAAAGATGAATATGTAATACTTTTACAAACATCCTCATTTTATGCAAACTTTGTAGCAGTGAATTTGCCCTTATGTGACTATGTAAAAATCTGTTATCAGTTAGCATTGTTCCCAGGTCACCTCTGTGAACTGCAAAACATTTCTCCCCTATATTTTGTCAATGATGATAATAGGGGGTGTTCTGTAGTCTTAACACATCTCCTGTCCTATAGTGACCACAAGGCTTCTTTATACAGTACAGCAAGTGAGTGTTGTCAACCTAGGACAGAGAGGTGTTAATATTAGAATTTCCAGGTGAAAAATAACAAAAACAAGAAAACCAACGCACCCACCACATCTAAGAACTGGTAAAAGAAGAGCTGTTTGTCCATCTGATCAGATTACATCCTACATAAAAAAAGAAAAATTCTGGTTAATTGCTGTCAGCTCTATATTTGTTCCAGTTTTTATATATTTGGTTGAGCTTGCTATGCTTCTCTATCACTGTGAGTCTAACTCTGCGCATTATAACTAGAGATAACAGAATCTAATGAAAAATGTTTAATATTTAAAAAGTATGTGTTCATTCACTGACATCATTCATTATTCACTATGCAGGTGCTGTCAGTGGTAAATAGAATTCAGGTCATCGATGATGTGTTTACACTGGCAAAGTGAGTAAAAAGTGGAATTATTTTGGAAAGCTGGTAATAAGGTCATGTCTATATAAATATATAGGAATTATATGAGTATTTATTTTGTGGTAAGAGGCTTTACTGGTTCTCACAAATGTATGTTTTGGTTTTTTTTTTTTGGGGGGGGGGGGGGGGGTGTGAATATGGCACAGGGGTGTACCTTTCAAGAAGAAACCTTTGGGTTTATTCTAGTTTTGCTGATAAAGGAACAAATACATATGAAGTTCAGGCAATTATAATTGCAGAAAAAGTATCAACATTAATTTACTGCTGCTACTTTTTTAAATTATATATTGAATTATGCTCTCTTAGTGTGACCCTAACCAAAGGCTCCTGCCTTGAAATCTAAAGCTGCTCACAAAGAAGATAGATAATGGTGATCATGACAACAAGTTGTAGGTTATAGGTGGCCTTGTTTGTTATACATTCAGCTATCATGGGCATCTGCTAGGTCAGCCTTGGAATCTCATGTTTGCAAGTATTACTATGGCTAATTCCTATTACAGGGTGCTCGGCAAACTCCATAGACAGAAACATAGTTCATACAGTAACAAACTCTGGTACTTTAAACACATACATATCCCCTGTTTTAAGGTGGCAGAAAATGTGTACACAAACCAAACACATACAGTATATATTGTTACAATGTTAAAAAAAAACAGGTCTGTCCACCTTAACCTTTGTGCATGTGTGTGTGTATGTGAGATTTTTATTCTCTAACAATATCTTTTCTGCATCCTGAGGAAGACATCTAGGAAGAAGGGAATTACACATTTTACTGCTTTAACAATAAAGAACTCTTTCCTCAATGTAAGGTTAAACCTTCTTTCTTCTAACCTCAGATCATCCCTGCATGTCCTCTTGAGGGTGTGATTTTTATTCTCTAACAATTCCCTTAGTCCTATATTTTCTGCTTCCTGAGGAAGACATCTAGGAAGGAGGGAATTATACATTTTACTGCTCTAGCAGTAAAGAACCCTTTTTCTCAGTCTATGGTTAAACTTCCTTTCTTGTAACCTCAAATCATGGCTGTGTGTCCTCTTCAGAGTCCTTAAAGTAAATAGCTCATTACAGTTACTGTAATGATATTTTTTTTTATATATATTTTTACATTGTATTCATATACCCTCTTCAGTGCCTCTTGTCCAGAGTGAATAACTGTAATGTGTGTAATCAATCCTCATAGCTGATGTCCTCTATCCCTCCTGCTCTTCACTGTACTCTTTCTAATTCAACAACGGATTTCCTGTGGATTGATAACTAGAACTAAACTGCATATTCAAGATGAATTCGAACCAGTGTTTTGTAAAGTAGTAGAATTGATTTATCTCTTGAATGTATGCCCTTTTTATTGCTTAAATGTATTTTGCTAGCTTTGCATGCTATGTCTGTGATCTACAAGCACACCCAAAAAACACACACTTCCTTTTTCGTCACTGATTCTTTCAGGGAAGGCCCCTCCAAATGTGTATTTTGCATGTGTATTTTTGGTACCCAAGCACACAACTTTACATTTCTCAATATTTAACCTCATCTGCCATGTAGGTGTCAAATACTCTGTGTCAAATATATTCTGTGGCAAAATGGTTTCCCTGCATAATGTGGTATTATCAAACAAATTATACACCCACCAATAATAAAAACACAACCAATCTGTGTATCTGAGGTTAATACCATTACCCACTTTATCAACATTATCCCATTATAATGTATGCCCAAAATTTATGATACCAGCCAGGGGCAGACTGACAACTCATGGGGCCCCTGGGCAGTAAGAGATAATGGAGCCCCCTGTGCCCCCGCCTACACTCAAGCACACCCACACAAACGCCCTACCTACATATTGCAGCTCAGCTGCATAGAAGGGGCATTTAAATATTTACTGCAGCAAAGACTGCATGAATGTTCCTGACTTCTTTCCGTAGAAGCCACTGGGCACTTCCAGGTTTAAAGATGGCTGCCATGTGGGGGAAGTGAAAGAGAGAGGGGAGTGAGAGGGTGAAAAAGAGGAAGGGTGTGAGAGAGAGAGAGAGAGGAGGAGGAGAGGAGGAGTGAGAGAGGAAGGGATGAGAGAGGAGGGGTGTGTTTTAAATTGCGCTAAAAATTGGGCATGGCTTAAAAGGGGTGTGGTTAAATAGTGTCTGAGATGACTTATATAGTGCAGAATGAGGCAATGTTAAATAGGGAATGTACAGTGTGGAGTGTATGACAGTGGGTAGTATGTACAGGTAGAGGAGTGCGGAGTGTATGGCGGTGGATAGTATGTGTAGGATGGTGTCAGTAGGTGGTGTCAGTAGTAGTTCATTTTTATTAGTATTATTTTTTATTTTTTTTTACAATTTTATGATTTTTGTTTACAAATTAAAGTTTTATTATTTGTATCATTTTTTTCAAAATGCTTTTGGGTGGCCAGTGGGTGGTGTCAGTAGAGCAATGGTGTGGGTGTCAGAATTTTTTAATTTTTATTATCTAATTTTTAAATTATTTTTTACAATTTATTTCTGTATTATTTTTTTCACAATGATTTTGTGGGGGCAGTGGACAGTGTCAGTAGGGAGTGAACAGGGAGCACTAGTATATGTTGGGCTGTCATTAGATTGTGATGAATTAAAGAAAACCTGTACCCCCTTATATCAGAAGGAAGGGGATGGATGGAGGGAAGGAAGGAAGAAAGAAAGGGGAGGGAGGGAATGGATGAAGGAAGGAAGGGAGGGAAGGAAGGAGGGGTGGGAGGAAAGAATGAAGGGTGGGGATGGAGGAAGTAAGGGAAAGCAGAAAAGGGAGGGAAATGGAGGGAGGAAGGAAGGAAAAAATGGTTGGAGGAAGGAATGAAGGAAAAGGAGGGAATAGAGGAAGTTAGGAAGGGAGGGAGGGAATGGATGGAGGAAGAAAGGGGAGGTGAGGAAGGAAGGAAGAAAAGGGAGGGGAATAGATGGAGGAAGGAGAAAAGGGGAGGGAAGGAAGGAAGGAATGGATGGAGGAAGGAAGGAAGGAGAGGGAAGGAAGGAGGGGTGGGAAGAAGGAAGGGAAGGAAGAAAAGGGAGGGAGGGAATGGATGGAGGAAGGAATGAAGGAAGGAAAGAAAATGGATGGACGAAGTAATGAAAATAAAGGAGGGAAGGAAGGAAGGGGAGGGAAGGAAGGAAGAAAAGAGAGGGAATAGATGGAGGGAGGGAGGGAGGAAGGAAGGGAATGAATGGAGGAAGGAATGAAGGAAAGGGAGGAAGGAAGGAAATGAAAGAAGGGGAAGGAGGAAAGAATGAAGGGAGGAGATGGAGGAAGGAATGAAGGGAGAAAGGAAGGAAGGAAGGAAGGATTGAAGGAAGGGGAGGGAAGGGGGAAAGAAGGAATGATTGAAAGACGAGGAGGAAGGGAAGGAAAAAATGAAGGGAGGGGATAGAGGAAGGAATGAAGGTAAGGGGAGGGAAGGAAGGAGGGGAGAGAGGAAGGAAGAAAAAAAAAGGAGGGATGAAATACATGAAGGAAAAAAGGAAAGAAGGGGAGGGAGAGCGATAGGAAGGAAGGGAAAGAGGGAGGGAGGAAGGAAGGAAAGAATAAAGGGAGGGGAAGGAGGAAGGAAGAAAAGGGAGGGAGGGAATGGATGGAGGAAAGAAGGAAATGGATGGAGGAAGGAATAAAGGAAGGGGAGGGAAGGAAGGAGGGGAGGGAGGAAAGAATGAAGGGAGGGGATGGAGGAAGGAAGGAATGAAGGGAGGGGGAAGGGAGAAAGGAAGGAAGGATTGAAGGAAAGGGAGGGAGGGGGGGAAGGAAGGAATGATTGAAGGACCCCCCATCCTGGAGGGAGGGATTTAAAAAATGAAGGGAAGGGATAGAGGAAGGAATGAAGGTAAGGAATTAAATGGAGGAAGAAATGAAGGAAGAAAATGGATGGCGGACGGAATGAAGAAAGGGGAGGGAAGTAGGGGAGGGAGGAAGGAAGGAAGAAAAAAGGAGGGATGAAATAGATGAAGGAAGGAAGGAAAGAATGAAGGAAGGGGATAGAGGAAGGAAGAAAAGGAGGGAGGGAGGGAGGGAATGGATGGAGGAAGGAATGAAGAAAGGGGGGAAGGAAGGGAGGAAGGAAGAAAAGGGAGGGAATGGATGAATTAAGGAAGGGAGGGAAGAAAGGAAGGAAGAAAAGGGAGGGAAGGATTGGAAGAAGAAGGAAGGAATGAAGGGAGGGAAGGAAGAAAAGGGGGGGGGGATGGATGAAGGAAGGAAGGAAGGAAAGAAGGGAGGGAAGGAAGGAAGGAAGAAAAGGGAGTGAAGGATTGGAGAAGGAAGGAAGGAATAAAGGAGGAAGGAAGGAAATGAAAGGGGGGGAGGGGGGTGGAGGGAGGGAGGGAGGGAAGAATGAAAGGCTGGGATGGAAGAATGAAAGGAAGGGGAGATAGAGAAAGGGAGAGAGAGGGAGGGAGAGAAAGATGGAGAGCGAGAGGGAGTGAGAGGGAGAGAGAGGGGGGAGAGAGAGAGGGGAGTGGGAGAGAGAGAGAGAATTACAGAGCTGCCGGCTGATCTGGACAGGGGAGGCAGAGCAGATCCTCTCTCCTCTGCTCTGCTATGGAGGATGGGGGGAGGGGCTGGACACTGGAAGATGAAGCATCAGCGACCTGCGAGGGAAGGCTGAGGAGCACAGAGGGGGGGCCCAGGAGGGAAATCCGATGCACAGTCGGGAATGATCGGTGCAGTGGAGGGACAGTGACAACACCGATCTGCCTGCATGAATTTCAACGAGGCAGCTGGAAGTCTCTTACTCCCGTGGCTTTCAGCTGCTTCATTGAAATCCATGCAGGGAGATCGGTGCTGTCACTGTCCCTCCACTGCACCGATCACCTCCGACTTTGTTCCTGATACATATCATCCATGGGGGAAGGGTGTGTGCAGGGTGTGTGCAGTGAACATCCCGCACTATGGATGATATGCCTCTCACCTTCCCACTGCCCACCGGCTCCATCACCAGCACAGTGTCTGGACCCATCACCCGACTCACTCTGCCACAATGTGAAGTGACAGGTGAGCTACTTTTGGGTCGGGATCTGAGACTTCCTCCTCCTTCGCTCTCCACACTGTCACTGGACACTGATCCTCTCACGGGCCCCCTACTGACCCCGTGCCCTCGGGCAATGCCCGAATGGTCAGTCCGCCCCTGATACCAGCTTCAAATCACCCAAATACTCAAAGAGGGATAAATAGCTGAAAATTAATGGAGTGGTGCCAGTCCTTAACATGCTTCATGAGCAAGGAAGCAAAATACGTACCCCTAATTGTGCCAGTCATTGGTATCATTGAATCAGGATGGAGAGCAGTGTTCTAGACAGGGAAGTGCTACTGTGCATGTCTGCATATTCCATGGACCTGAAATGCACTATTCTGTATGCCTGTGCCTTATTATCGGGAAATGTTCTAAAAAAGGAGGACCTATGAGTCTCTTAAACATCGATGGTTGTTGTTTCATGAACTATGTTTTGCTATTAAAGTGATACTAAAGCTAAAGTCATTTTTTACTGTAATGCATTTTTTGCAATAAGCTAAAAAACATTTTATATTTCTCTGTCCCACCTTTTCTGTGTGGGAGGGGTGGGGAGAATAGGTCCAGTGCTGTGCACTGCTGCATCTCTTCTCCTCTCACTTCTTCACACAGCAACAGCAGGAACCATTGGCTGCTGTCAATCAAATGCAAAGAGGAGGAAGTGGAGGTGAGGCTAAGTCCTACTGTGTAAGTCTATGGAGTGGCTCCATAGACACACAGTTTTAGAGCGTGCAGACACTGTGTGCCTCCATAGCAAACGGCTTGCTATGGGGACACACAAAAAAAGAGAAGGAGCCAAGATTGCTGTCAAGGGACCTGAAAAGGGGAGGATTGAGGCCGCTCTCTGCATTACCACTCTACAAAGCATGTGAGTATAACATGTTTGTTGACTTTAATAACACTTTAAGATCTCAGTAAAATATTGAAATCTACTTTTCTTGCTATGCTGGCCATTTTTGCCTATGCTAGTGCTAGCAGACTGCAGAAAACACCCCCCGGGAGATTGTTCTTTCAACATTTTCCAATAGCTGTTGTTTTCCCAAAGATAACACCCTTGCCAGCAAAATCTGCCTGCTCTATTTAAAAATGGCCACTATCATGGGAAATATGGAAAGATATTTCAGAATATTTTACTTGTCACTCGAACTTGAGCATTGAGAACCAAGGGGAGTCAGCTTATCCTTACTGAATGGCTCATTTGGAGGATAAACAGCAGTGGCGCTTATTGTCTTATATGGAAAATGGAGCACAGCAAATTTTCTCGTACAGCAAAATGTTGGTTTGCCTTACAATTTGTAAATGTGTAAGAAGAGGAAACATCGTGTATAATGCACCATTTTTTTTTCTCATTTTTATAGCTCTGGATATCTGGAATATGAAACTGCGCTCAGTTTAACAAGATACCTGGAAAAGGAAATGGAAGTAATTGTATGGTACATTGTTCTGAAACACATGCATTACTACAAAAAGACACTGGTGACATATCATTCTTTTCCACTTATAAAAGTAAATATATTTTGTTTGCTAGTACATTTATGTCCTGTGGCAGTATCATTAAAAAATTCCAATTCTCTTTCGCAAGTTGAATAGTTTGGGAAAAATAAATGCCTGCCATAATGTTTCTGCACCCTGTAGATTACAGGTTTCCATGTTTCACAACACAGGTTTTTTTTTAAAGAATAAAACCTCATTCCCCCTCTCACAGATTTACCCCATAGTGTACGCTACAACACACCATAATATAGACTTTTGTTGAATCCAGTTTACTGTACACCCTTCTGTCTGCTCCACGTCACCTTCATTACTGTGTACCCCTTTGTTAGCTCCATGCCATCTGCTTCAGCTCACTATGCGCCACTTTGTTAGCACCAGATGTTGGAAAGTAAAACTAGCTGACAGTTTCTTAAGCCTTATGGGGGCTTATTTGGTGAGAAAAACTGGCACTTTGGTTCTTGGATCTGAAAACTAGTGTGGTCATTTTAAGTGAGATACCAATCCTTCTCGTTGAATTTTCTGTTTATATAGAATGCAATAGGAGACCCTGGAACACTCAAAACTCCCATGTGGACAGCAACAGGAGTCAGGAACTAGTGCAGGGAGATCTCCATGTTGGAGCATCCAAAACATATGGAAAGCCAGGAACAAACTCATTTACCAAGCTCCAACTCTTACTGATGTATCACTTTGTTAAAACTGGCCTTTAGGTTAACCCAGTGGTTTCCAGACTGTGCCCCGGGGGCTAGATGCAGCCCTTTGCTTGCCTTTATCTGGCCCTTGGGGCACTATTTAATCCACTGACACCAACAAATTCGTCCCAATGATACCAATGATGGGACACAAGTCCCACCAATGACACCAATGATGGGGCACAGTTCATCCCAATGACACCATCAATGGGGCACAATTCCTCTAACACCAAAGATGGAGCATTATTTACTCCCAATAATGCCAGGACATTTTCCCGTCTGGCCCCCCTAAAGTCCGAAGGACAGTAAACTGGCCCTTTGCTTAGAAAGTTTGGAGACCCCTGGGTTAATCTAAATTAATTTCTTTGTGTATTTTAGCTAATACTGTAATTGTGAAAGTGAGTGATGTTGGTGACCCGAGTTTCATAATAGGTGTTTCATGTCACAACACTGCCAGCTTTCTATTGCTGTTAGGGTAGTCATTTCTCTTGTAGCCATTGATGTAAACTGATGTAAACACAAGATTAGCAAACCAGATGGCTGGTCACCATGACTTTTTAGGGTTGATGCAGCTGTAAATGCAGATGGTGTTACAGAAGTTAAGTGTATTAGCGAGCAAATATTACTGTATAAACCATTCATAGAAAATACAGTAACATTGATACTGACACCACACATTCTATTACTTATATTTAATAAAAAGGGACTTCTCCCAGTCTTCATCTTCTTGCAGTTGTCATGATTCTCACTCATATGATGTTCTTGCCTGGCAGTTCTGTTGTAGTGTGGTAGTTAGTTCAGATCACACTGTAGCTTGGATATAAAGGTCTTTTTCTGATAGATTAATTAAACTCACATTTGTCAACATAATAATCATTTAAAATTTTAACATTTCATCAGTATCCTGGCATCAAGCTCTTACAGCATACTGTCTACCCTACCTAGCAACATGATGGTATCATCTAGGACTAGGTTATAAAATAAGGTTCCGTTGTCATCTACATGTTTTACGTATGTTCTGTTAATTCTGTTCTAATGTTTAAACTGAATGGCTCAGTTGGTTGCTGATTTGCCTGGGTATATGGCTCCATTGTGTTATACCTTCTTTAATATCACACTAAGTGGTGTGTATATATGTGAACTCGGGCAGGACGTGGGATTCTGATTTGGGAGGAAGCAGGCTCTCCAGTTTTGTTCATTGTCATATCCTGAGTACCTAACAGACATCACTAGAAGCACTTTGCTGCATCTTCTATGTAAAATGTTTGCACATACGTTTCATTGTTTTCAACTAGATCTGTTTCCACCAAGCTGACTGCCATGGGTAGCATTTCCTGCACCTGTCTGTCACTTCTCGTAAACATGTGTTTATAAGGAAACGCATGCTCGGGTAATTCTCCCTGGTGCCAAAAAGCACCTGCAAATTAAGCTAGCTATGTACCGTGCCTTGAAAAAGTATTCATACACCTTGAAATTTTCCACGTTTTGTCATGTTACAACCAAAACGTACATGTAATTTATTTTGATTTTATGTGATAAAAAAACCATAAAAAGACTTGCAGCTGTAATTGCAGCGAAAGGTGGTTGTACAAAATATTGACTCAGGGGGGCTGAATACAAATGCACGCCACACCTTTCACATATTTATTTGTAAAAAATTTGGGAAACCATTTATCATTTTCCTTCCACTTCACAATTATGTGCCACTTTGTGTTTGTCTATCACATAAAATCCCAATAAAATACATTTACGTTTTTGGTTGTAATATGACAAAATGCAGAAAATTTCAAGGGGTATGAATACTTTTTGAAGGCACTGTAACTATGCTTATAAATTCCCTGTGTGTATGAACCTTTAGTCGTCTGTCATGTAAGACTGTGACTACAAAGGCAAATTTAAGGTCTAACATTGTTTCTACTCATACACGTGCATGCAAGTGCAAAATGTAGTAGACCTGCTATGCCTTCCATGTGACCCGCTGCATCCAAAGAAATGCATAGCAAGTGAAGCATAGCATCAGAATAGGCATCCACGCTACACCATTATCGAAAACAGAAAGCCCATCTACCTTAGCCCTTACTATTATCTTCTTGTTGACAATTGCTTCATGTACAACGCATTGATTATTACTGCAGTAGTCAACAAGGAAATGATTCTCTTGCTAGCAAGCTTACTGAGCCATATTTCCCTTATTGTAGTACAGCTACAGATTTGTAGATTTGCCCTTCCAGTCAGTTCTACATTTTATATGTTCCAGTTACCATACACCATGTACCATATTTCCATTATTGCATTATATACTGTAAATACCAGTTACAAGTCTGTGTCTGATTCTGTATTACACAGACAAGGCACGAGGAGCACAAGTTGTTTAAATATGTCCATATTAGAACTTACTCTGTGTAATTGTTTGTTTCAGAAATATATTTTGAAGAGAATTAAACCAATATTCCAACATTATGCAAGTGTTCTTCAAAGAGATTTTGATGAAACTGCTGACGACTTTTTTGTTCAGTAAGTGCCATGCAGTTATTCATGTTTATAGTAATCATTCCCACACTTACTTAGAAGAAGCACATGGAACCACTATGGTAGAGTTTTTATTAAAGGGCTCTAACAGCTCACAAAATGAACAAATTGCAAAGTTGTAGACACAATCCCATGAATCATAGATCAGTAGTGCTGTGTCACAATTACATTAGTAAAATTGGCTGGATTGTTACAGTTTAGCCATTTTCTGCTGGCCATATGCCTCTTTATTAGGTACACCTGTTCAATTGCTTGGTAACACAAACTGCTAATCAGCCAATCACATGGCAGCAACTCAATGTATTTATGCATCTAGATGTGGTGAAGACGACTTGCTGAATTTCATGGCATGGTTGTTGGCGCTAGACGGCTTGGTCTAAGTATTTCAAAAACTGCTGATCTACTGGGATTTTCACGCACAATCCTCTCTAGGGTTTACAGAGAATGGCTCGAAAAAGAGAGAAATATCCAGTGAGCGGCAGTTGTGTGGACAAAAACGCCTTGTTGCTGTCATAGGTCAGAAGAGAATGGGCAGACTGGTTTGAGATAATAGACAGCCAACAGTAACTCAAATAACAATTCATTACAAACAAGGTATGCAGAATACCATCTCTGAATGTACAGCACATCAAACCTTGAAGCAGATGGGCTACTGCAGCAGAAGACCACACTGGGTGCCACTCCTGTCACCTAAGAACATGAAACGGAGGCTACAGTTTGCACAGGCTCACCAAAATTGGACAGTAGAAGATTGGAAAAACATTACCTGGTCTGATGATTCTCAATTTCAGCTGCGACATTCAGATGGTACGGTCAGAATTTAGCATTAATAACATTATAGCATGGATCCATCCTGACTTGTATCAATGTTTCAGGTTGGTAATGGTGGTGTAATGGTGGAAGGGATATTTCCTTGGCATACTTTGGGCCCCTTAATACCAATTGAGCATCGTTTAAATACCACGGCTTACCTGAGTATTGTTGCTGACTATGTCCATCCCTTTATGACTAGTGTACCCATCTTCTGATGGCTACTTCCAGCAGGACAATGCACCATGTCACAAAGCTCAAATCATCTCAAACTGGTTTCTTGAACATGACAATAAGTTCACTGTACTCCAATGGCCACCACAGTCACCAGATCTCAATCCAATAGAGCACCTTTGGGATGTGCTGGAACGAGATTCACATCATGGATGTGCAGCTGACAAATCTGCAGCAACTGCGGGATTCTATCATGTCAATATATGGACCAAAATCTCTGAGGAATGTTTTCAACACCTTGTTGAATCTTTGCCATGAAGAATTAAGGCAGTTCTGAAGGCAAAAGGGGGTCCAACCCGATACTAGCAAGGTATACCTAATAAATTGGCCGGTGAGTGGTATACCCAGTGTCAGTATGAGAATTCCCGCTGTACTATCGCAGTCCAGCTATAAGTCGCTGATCACCGCCATTACTAGTTTAAAAAAAAGATAAATACAAATTCCAGTATATATACTGCCATTTGTAGATGCTATAACTTTCGCGCAAACCAATTAATATACACTTATTGGGATTTTTTTTACCGAAGACAAGTAGCAGAATACATTTTAGCCTAAATTCAAGAAGAATTTTTTTTAATTGGATATGTTTTATAGCAAAAAGTTAAAATATTGTTTGTTTGTTTTTAAATTTTTGATCTATTTTAATTTATAGCGCAAACATTTTTAAAAACAGTGATGATCAAATACCACCAAAAGAAAGCTCTACTTGTTTGAAAATATGATATAAATTTCATTTGTGTACACTGTTGCATGATCGCACAATTGTCAGTTAAAGTAGCGCAGCGCCATATAGCAAAAAATGGCTGGTCATGAAGGGGGGTAAATCTGGAGAGCAAGTGGTCATATCAACAGAGTTGATCAACCTTACATTTATTTAGCTCTTTATATACAGCTGTATGCAGCCAATCCTGATATAATGTATGCAAAAATGCTTATTGTGCAACATATTTTCTATTTCGAAGGGAATAATATGCTAAAGTCAGATAGGGGAGTAATTTTCCTTTATGAAAAAATTACTAGAATACTAAATTTTACCTGGTATACAAACTACAGCTAACTCCAATCAGATATGTAGAATTTCTGGAAAGTTTAATACCATCGGGGAAAAAAAAACAAAACTTTTTTTCCCTGCTTTTTTTCCAGAAAAAAAAAGTTTTTCTGAAAAATTTAAAAGTTCAATGTGGAGTAGTTTTACTAATTGAAAGTCATTTTGTTAAACTGGGAATGTGAAATGCAGTGTAAATAAAAGTATTATGCTTGAAATAAAACTACAGCTTACTCAGTAAATAAACTAAACTTGCTTTTTAAAATATGTGATGGTCCAGATGCTGCAGAGAGAGTGTTTCTGGAATGAGAACTCTGAAGGGAAAAGCTATTTGCACTTTCAATCTGGTCCTCATCATTTCATTCCATAAAGTATTTTTTTAATGTCTTTAGGACAGCTCCTGCATTTAAGGATGTGTTTTGTCATCCTTGTAGCATTTGAAAAAGAATATTTCATATCACAATATTTGCAAATTGTTCTCACTGCACTGTGGAAATGTTTCCAAACTAGATGTTAGTCTCACCATTTACAGAGAGAACGAAAAAGAAAAAACAATTTACTGACCAGACTATAGGTAAACATTAGGCTGTAGCTGTGGGAAATTAATAGGAATCATTTAAAGGTTATAAAGATACATTCATATGTCAGAAAAGATTACCCTCTTACCTGTCAATGAAGGCCCGAGAGGACAGAAACTATCATCTACTGCAGTGGTCTCCATGCGGCCCTTTGCTAAAAAAAAAAAATAATTTCACATGTGAAAATTCTACTATCCAGTGATAAGTTTGCACGTTCCTTTGTTGACATTTAAGTAGTCTGTGTATAAAATATAAAATGTAACTATGTTGTGAGCTTAAATGTTTTTACTCAAGACTTGTGTATGAACATTTTTTTTCTTCTTTAAAGTACAGGAATTGATCTTATATTTAAAACAGCTTGTTCCCTTGGGCTGCAAGACTGTCTGAGTTTGGCAAGTGGCATCTATACCAAATGGATGGCTAACACTTCCAATAATGAGTAAGTTATGTAGTCATACTGTATATGTATAGTACATTCAATGAATGTTTTGTTAGGCAGACTCAGTGGGAAACAGACATTTTTTAAAATAAAGTTTAACACAAAATTCATCCAAAAAAACTTTGCATAGCCTCTGCTTGCTACTATATTTTCTGAACATTACAACTCCACCAATAACATCTCTAGTCTATATGTCAGGGGCAGAGGAGAGTAGAGGTTCAATTTACAACATAAAGCATCCACATCCACATTTCTCTTATAGCCTTCTAACATTGCTCAGAGCAAACTGCTTTTAAATAATGATTCTGAAGATTGAGAACATTGAGCAGTGAGAGATCTGTCCATCTCCCCCTGATCAAGTGTCAAAGAAAGCTAGCAAGCTCTGGAGCTGGTAAAATTGGACCCGCTCATTTCTAACATAAAATCACTTTGATTGTCCTCTATTGCCATTGAGGTGTAATGTTATAATAAATATAAAAGTTCAACTAAAAGCCTAGTCCATTTAACAGCGCTGACCAGTCAGATTCCATCTGGTCTGTCCTGGAAATGCTGGCGGAGAACAGTAGGGATTTCCAGACCACTGGACCGGCTGTGGGAGCCCTGACATCTCAGAGTTGCTGGAAATAAGTACAGTGGGGACCAGTGGGGTGGTGAAGGTGTCTGGTGTTTGTCCATCTTTACATTTTTTGTGTAAAGGTGAACTAACACTTTAAGAAGTATTTCACTACAGCTTGGAGGGTGCAGTGTGTTGTACTCCATCTGTATACAGATGCAGAATAAACATGCAGCTTTTTGACATACACAATTGTAGAAATTACACCTCTATAACTAAGACAAAAGAACAGTTGGTTTGTTACTACTTCTAAGGCCCCTTTCACACGACTGTTTCGATCAGATTTGCCTATCAGTTTTTCAGGTGGACCTGATCGAACGGTCCATTCACCACTATTGCCCGGCGAGTGTAAACGAACATATGTCTATTTACATCTGCTTACCTCCAATCTGATCAAGGTCCACTAAAAAAAACCAGAAGGGAATCTGTTCTCCTCCTTCTAGGCAGATCATCAGGCAGTCCATTTACACCCAGTCACCCATGGAGCAGAGCGGGATCTTATGTCTGCATAAACTAAGCAGACATGGACCTGTCATCTGCCCACTCTATTCTGCTCAGCAGGAGATCAACAGACCGATCCCCTGCTGAGCAAATCAGATTTCACTCTGTGTGAAAGGAGCTTTATGCAAGCCATAGATGATGCAGTTTTCTTTCCTGCAACAGTCAGTATTGATGGAGCAGTTCCTCCCGCAGGGCTATTGTCTCCTGCCAGGCAGGGAGCCTTCCCTGTCGGCAGAAAACAATGATCACTGCTAGCAGCTATAGCCACCTTCAGCTATCACATGCAGACTGGTTGTACTGAAGTTGATCAATGGATTGACTTCAGTACAACCAGCCTGCCCATAAATGGCTTGAATCTCGGCTGGTGTCTGCTGAAAAGGCCTAGATTCGATCCATGTATGTCTAAGTTAAGCAAATACTGTCAGAAGGTAAGGAAATACCATAATACATCTCCTAAATTGTAAGCTCCAAGGAGCAGGGCCCTCCTAACCCTCTTGTATTGAACTGTATTGTTGCTGTATTGTCTCCCGTCATATTGTAAAGCGCTGAGCAAACTGTTGGCGCTATATAAATCCTGTATAATAATAATAATACATGCAACAACTGAAGTGTTGACAGTGGTAGCTGTAAAGCAGTGGTCATCAACTTAGGAGCTGAAGGGGGTCTCAAATTCTGCCACTGACATCACCAAAGGACCACACATAATGTTCAATATATGTAATGCTTGAAAGGACTGTCAGAAACTGCAGACCTAATAGAGGAAATGAGGGTCAGAGAGTGTAGACAAGATACATTTTGGGTGGGGATATGCTACAGAAGACAAAATGAAAAACTGGGAACATGTTACATGAGTCTAGTAGAGATCAATGCTATTACCCTAACCACTGTTCCCACTACAGACTGCTGAGGTCCGAGGACCGCACATCATATAGCAAAGGCCCACAAGTTAGGCACCAGAGCTGTAAAGTATTTATTCTGTATACACTATATTTCCAAAAGTATTGGGGCACTCCTCCAAATCATTAGATTCAGGTGTTCCAATCACCTCCATGGCCACAGGTGTATAAAGTCAAGCACCTAAGCATGCAGACTGCTTCTACAAACATTTGTAAAAAAATGGGTCGCTCTCAGGAGCTCAGTGAATTCAAGTGTTGTACCGAAGTCAGCCACAAAGTGGTAGGTGACATAAAATGACCGAGCGGGGTCAGTGCATGCTGAAGCGCACAGTGCGCAGAAGTCGCCAATTGTCTGCAGAGTCAATAGCTAAAGGCCTCCAAACGGCAAGCAGCCGCATCCAAGCCTTCTCTGAAGTGAGGAATCCTGCTTCTCTGTCTGGCAATCTGATGGACGTGACTGGGTTTGGCGGTTGCCAGGAGAACGGTACTTGCCTGACTGCATTGTGCCAAGTGTAAAGTTTGATGGATGGGGGATTATGGTGTGGGGTTGTTTTTCAGGGGCTGGACTTGACCCTTTACTTCCAGTGAAGGGAACCCTTAAGGAATCAGCATACCAAGACATTTTGGACAATTTCATGCTCCCAACTTTGTGGGAACAGTTTGGGGATGGCCCCTTCCTGTTCCAACATGACTGCACACCAGTGCACAAAGCAAGGTCCATTAAGACACGGATGAGCGAGTTTGGGGTGGAGGAACTTGACTGGCCTGCACAGAATCCTGACCTCAACCCTATAGAAAACCTTTGGGATGAATTAGAGTGGAGACTGTGAGCGGAGACTGTGAGCCAGGCCTTCTCGTCCGACATCAGTGTTTGACCTCACAAATGCTCTTCTGGAAGAATGGTCAAACATTCCCATAGACACACTCCTAAACCTTGTGGACAGCCTTCCCAGAAGAGTTGAAGCTGTTATAGCTGCAAAGAGTGGGCCATCTCAGTATTGAATCCCATGGACTAAGACTGGGATGCCATTAAAGTTCATGTGTGTGTAAAGGTAGGCATCCCAATACTTTTGGCAATATAATGTATATAAACCTGGGGGAGAGGGGGATTTTGGGTAACTTTCATTTTATTTTTTTATAATGGATGGGTGTGCATGTAAGATGCTAATTGTATGGTTGTTGCCTTTTTTAGCTGCAGTAGATTATTGTGGTAAAAAGCTATGGACAATACACACCTAAAAATGAAATCCCAAAAAATACCCTTTCTGCCAAGTAACAAAATGCAGAACACATAACCTAATACAGTCTTATCAAATAATAGGATTTTTTATGATCCACAGTTATAATAGATAGTCCATTTCTCTGCTAGGCGAGATAATGTATCTAACAGATCCAGGGACAGTTTTCTCACACATTAGTAATGTTTTGTTTTGCACTACAATGTTGAAATAGATCCTCAAATTATTCTGCCAGACAAGATATTGTTGCTAAAAGAGCCTGTGATTTTTTTTCTCAGGCAATAATGGTGTTTGGTTATCTGCTACAAAGTTTCTGTAGATTGTCAGTTTTTTGCAACACTTGTTCATTTTGCTAACTGAGTCAGGAACAGTTTCTTCACAGAGGTTTCCTGTTGTGCTGTCTCTGTACTCAGCAATAATGGTTACTTACTCCTTATGCTGGTATTTAATACAGGGATATGCCCATGTTTTCCATCGCTGGAAATGCCTGGCTACTGATTATAGTAAAGGTATTCACAGTATATAGTTAAGGTATATAGCAAAAGTGCCCATGCCCTTTAAGCAAGCTGTTTATGGATTAGATGGGATTCCAGTCATTATACTGTATATATTCGAGATGAAATGAACTGTTTGTGGAGTACAGGGTATGTCAAGGATTATAGTATAGGCAAGGTGAAACTAGCTTTAAACAGTTCCTATTTAAACTATCAGTGTGCAATGATCACAATACTGATCACATGGTTTTGTTTATCAGCAGAGCCATGTGAAGAACATCATGATCATTGCATTCTCCTGGTTTTAAGGGAGATTTTTTTTTCTCCTTGCAGTGCCACATGGTAAACTTAGAGGCTGATTTCAGTGAATTTGCTGTTTTTGTCTATAATTGCATCTCTTATGTTTATCGCTTCACAAGTTCCCTGTAAAAAGAACCTGTGCTTTTCCTATGCCAGGCAAGCAGGTTAATTTAAATTGAACCTATGCCCAGACTATGCAAAGTAAAATATTTACATATTCTGAACACAAATTAAACACTTTAAAACAAGTCCTCATTCACGTCTAGTTATCAGCTTTATGGAGAAATGTGTCTTTAAACCTCTTGCACACAGGCAAATTAGGCCATACAATGTAAATTGCAAGCATATTTCTGCGCTTAAAGCCACCCATAGTAATGAATATATACAGTTGCAAGAAAAAGTATGTGAACCCCTTGGGATTACGTGGAGTTTTGCATGAATTGGGCGTAAAATGTGCTCTGAATATCATCTAAGTCACAACAATAGAAGAACACAGTCTGCTGAACATAATACTACACAAACATTAGATGTTGCCATGGTTTAATTGCACATAACATGTAAACATTCACAGTGCAGGGAGGAAAAAGTATGTGAGGCCCTAGCTTAATGACTTCTCCCAGAGCTAATTGGAGCCAGGAGTGAGCCAACCTTGACTCCAATCAGTGTGATGATATTGGATGTGTTGCTGACAGCTGTCCTGCCCTTAAAAAACACACACCTGTTTTGGGTTTACTGGTTTCCAGAAGCACTGTCTGATGTGAACCATGCCTCGCAGAAAAGAGCTCTCAGAAGACCTACGATCAAGAATTGTTGACTTGCATGAAGCTGGAAAGGGTTACAAAAGTATCTCCAAAAGCCTTGATGTTCATGTGTCCACGGTAAGACAGACTGTCTACAAATGGAGCAAGTTTAGCACTGTTGCTACTCTCCCTAGGCGTGGTCATCCTGTAAAAATGACTGCAAGAGCACAGCGCAGAATGCTGCATGAGGTAAAGAAGAATCCCAGAGTGTCAGCTAAAGACCTATAGAAATCTCTGGCACATGCTAACATTTTTGTTGCCACACCTACAATAAGGAAAACATGAAACAAGAATGGAGTACATGGGAGGACACCACGGAGGAAGCCATTGCTGTCCAAAAAGAATATTGCAGCACGTTTGAAGTTTGCAAAAGAGCACCTGGATGTTCCACAGCACTACTGGCAAAATATACTGTGGACAGATGAAACCAAGATTGAGTTGTTTGGGAAGAACACACAACACTATGTGTGGAGAAAAAAAGGCACAGCACACCAACATCAAAACCTCATCCCCACTGTGAAACATGGCGGAGGGAGCATCATGGTTTGGGGCTGCTTTGCTGCCTCAGGGCCTGGATGGATTGTTGTCATTGATGGGAAAATGAATTCCAGAGTTTATCAAGACATTTTGCAGGAAAACGTACGACCATCTGTCCGCCAACTGAAGCTCCACAGAGGATGGGTGATGCAACAGGACAATGACCCAAAGCATACAAGTAATTCAACAAAACAATGGCTGCAACAGCACAGAATACACCTTCTGGAGTGGCCCAGAGTCCTGACCTCAACCCGATTGAAATGCTGTGGCATGACCTTAAGAGAGCGGTTCACACCAGACATCCCAAGAATATTGCTACACTGAAACAGTTTTGTGAAGAGGAGTGGTCCAAAATTACTCCAGATCGTTGTGCAGGTCTGATCTGCAACTACAGGAAACGTTTGGTTGAGGTTATTGCTGCCAAAGGAGGGTCAACCAGTTATTAAGTCCAAAGGTTCACATACTTTTTCCTCCCTGCACTGTGAATGTTTACATGTTATGTTCAATTAAACCATGGCAACATCTAATGTTTGTGTAGTATTATGTTCAGCAGACTGTGTTCTTCTATTGTTGTGACTAAGATGACGTTCAGAGCACATTTTATGCCCAATTCATGCAAAACTCCACGTAACCCCAAGGGGTTCACATACTTTTTCTTGCAACTGTATGCCATGCTAGTGTAAACATGCAAATGTGTGTAAAGCCTTATGTGCGTCCAAAGAGTTACACCCCTGTGTGATGGAGCTGTGTCTCCCAGGCATGGAAATACTCCTCTAGTTTTAAAGTGATTGTAAACCCTCACCTGGTAAAACAACCCATTCCATTTAAACTAGAAATGAAAGGCAAAACATTTGTTTCTAGACACAAAAAAAATTATAAATACATTTTACATCCCCTCTGTTCTCAGCTGCATAAGAGCTAGGGGAGGAGAAACAGCAGTACACTGATCTCGCCCAGTAAATGGTTGTGCAAGGGGGGTGCTGCCAGGACAAGTCAGTTCATTGGAGGAGAGCAGGCTGAGATCCCAGCATAGCTAAAGAACTGACCATGCTGTGCTTTCATGCTTAGTGTGGTCAGTTTTTATTAGGAAAGCAGAGGGACTGGTAGGAACACCCAGTGTTTCACACAAGCAATACAAAGAGAGCAGGATACATCTGTGTGCATGAGGCTTCTCAACAGATTCAGTAAAATCTCAGTGTCTTTTTGTGGAAAGCACAATATTGGCAGCTTCTCCAGTGTAAACACACAGTGGGTATTGGCTGTGTCTGGGTTCTGGGTTGCCAGGAGAACAGTTCTTGCCTGACTGCATTGTGCCAAGTGTAAAGTTTGGTGGAGGGGGGATTATGGTGTGGGGTTGTTTTTCAGGGGTTGCGCTTGGCCCCTTAGTTCCAGTGAAGGGAACTCTTAAGGTGTCAGCATATCAAGACATTTTGGACAATTTCATGCTCCCAACTTTGTGGGAACAGTTTGGGGATGGCCCCCTCCTGTTCCAACATGACTTCACACCAGTACACAAAGCAAGGTCCATAAAGACACGGATGAGTGAGTTTGGGGTGGAGGAACTTGACTGGCCTGCGCAGAGTCCTGACCTCAGCCTGATAGAACACCTTTGGGAAGAGAGTGGAGACTGTGAGCCAGGCCTTCTCGTCCGACATCAGTGCCTGACCTCACAAATGTGCTTCTGGAAGAATGGTCAAACATTCCTATAGACACACTCCTAAACCTTGTGGATGGCCTTCACGGAAGAGTTGAAGCTGTTATAGCTGCAAAGGCTGGGCCAACTCAGTATTGAACCCTGTGCACTAAGACTGGGATGCCATTAAAGTTCATGTGTGTGTGTACAGGCAAAATTTTTGGTAATATAATGTATATATATATATATATATACATATATATGGACCTTTTAACAGGAAGTTGGATCACAGCAACAAAAAAAAAAAAGGAATCTGGAGATTTGAAGGCGGTTCAGAGTAACTCAATGTGCTTTTTTTGAGCTAAGAATACATTAATAGAATTATTTTTAAACCAAAGTTTAGTGTCACTCTAAGCTTGTTGAAAGCTTGCTTCCAAATTGTTTGAAAGTATCAGAAAGCACTTCCATTATGACCTGCCTTTAACATTTCCAAACTGGAATTGAAGAGTTTTTAAAGACTTCAACAAAGTTGTTCGAGACCTTCTGGAAACCTTACTGTGCACACTGCTCGTATACAAACTGTAGCCTGTGTGTCTATTGCATGCCATCTTGTAATCTGTTAATATTTTAATTAACATGGTTGTAAACTCTTACATATACCCAGTAAAGTGACTATCCTCAGATGATACATAGAGATTAAACTAATTCTTCCAAATGAGTTGTACCTGTTTATCTGTAGCATTTGTCCAGTACCGCCTTGTAAAACTCAGAGACAAAAATGATTTTTCCCTTCACACATAAAGAGAGCTGAGACTGTTAATCACAGGCTGTGTGCTGGTGCTCCCTCCTCTGTTACCTTTTACCTCTTGGTGTCAGGAAAACTTCCCGGAAGTGACGCATACAGATCACACTAAAAAAATATGTGCTTTGTTCAGATTTCATGTCTGAGGTTTACAATTACTTTAAAGTGGAACTATACTCATCTTGGCCCCAGCGATGCGGCTCCCTGGAGCTCCCCGCCTGGCCACTGCCATCTGCCAGGTGGGCAGATTCTGGGTCTCGATTGCTGGCCACTTTCATTGGCTGGGCAGGGATGACGTCCCATTCATGTATGGGATTTCAGTTAAATTTGGCATTTCTGAATTTGTACAGTGAGCTGTGCTTGCGTGGCTCATTGTACAGGGGTGGACAGGCAGGTAAATAGCTTTATTGCAGAAGAGACAAAGTATGTCTCTTATGCATTAAAATTCCTGCCTGTTCGTCCTTTTTTTTATAACCTAAAGTTCCATTTTAAGTTTGATTATAAAACCATGCAGTTATGTCTCCACTTTTAAATAACCTTTCTAATGAAGGTCAGAGCTTTTGTGGGAATAGTACTTATAAGTATGTCAATGTGCCAAACTCTGAAATTACAATTATGTTGTCCTGAGCAGCCTGCACTAGAAAATGTCAATGGAGTATGAAAGTGTGACGTAATTGGCTGCTATGGGGTGAACTATATAGTTATTTTTTAGGAAAGGCAAAGAACAATCTGCAAAGAGTTTATTGTTCACTGGTTTCCTTAGTTCAGCTAGTCATAGGCTGTCATTGATTACTGTGAGTTATGAGTAAGGCCAGTTGAGGCAGAAACACATCAACTTTTTTTTCTGTATTTCTTACCCCTGTACTGAATTTACTAAATAGAGAATAAGGGCTGCGGTCTATCTTGTTGACGGCTCTTATGGTCAGTTCATTGATCACTACCCTGTGCACTTTACCGCTGCATCTCTTTACCTTAGTACAGTAGTCTGATCACCTCTGATAGCAACATGGTAACATATTTACTCCATGGTGTCTAATGCTGCAGGATACCACAGTCCATTAAAGGAACAGTTTACTGCTATGGTATTGCAGAGGGTGGCGAAAAGGAATGGGATCATGCCTGGAGTGTATACAACAAATCAGACCTTGCAGATATCTGGGATTACAGTTACCTGAAACATGGCTTGAGCTGTACCAAGGAGCCGTGGCTGCTGTATCGGTAAGCAGTACATCAACACTCAATACAACCTACTTATTATGCCAAAAGAAAGGCTGTGTGCTGGGGGTTTTATTCACTTAACTAAAGTTATACAGAACATACAAGACCCATCCCAGTAGCCCAGAGCCTCTGTATTTTTATCCAGACATGGCTATAGCATTCCATTCCACATAATGTATAAATGGTTGTTTTTGCTGGTGTTTTGGAAATAGACTGTTGAACATTATGAATGTACAGTTTGGGTATGCTTTTCTGCATCTGTCTTGGCCTTGCTAATTTTTTTCAAACAGAGAGAATTTGCTCAGTACAGTTGTTTTACAATAACTCCATCTACAATCATATTTGAGAAAGTTTGCAGAATCTGGGTTAAATGAGTTAAAGCGGCATAAACCCCAGAACAAAAATCTGTTATATTACAGATGACCAAATCTTAGATGTGGTGACTGCATTATTTTCTTTATTTTCACCTGGTGATCCTGCCAGTAAGTCTGTTATTTTTAACTTTAATTACCAGGCCAAGTTGTATTGGGTGCTTACAATGGTCAGCTTTATGTAAAACATTGACTTCAATGGGAAAAACTGTTGCTGTAACTGCTTAAAAAGTGTTGACTAGAGTTCAGCTTTAATTTGTTAGTCAAGTCTATCTAATGCTGCTAGTCTAACAATACCCTCCCCTTGATTGACAATGCTGCTGTCCAAAGGAGTCTCCATTGCTCCTCCATCCACAGTGGTGCTATCCTAAGCAGTGGTGTATTTTGCTTTTGTGCTGCCCTAGGCAACACAAAAATTGGGTACTCCCCCTCCCCCCAAATGAGAGTGAGACAAAGAGAGAGGGGGGGGGGGAGAGAGAAAAAAATAGAGAAGGAGAAAGAAAGAAAGGAGAAAGAAAGAAGAGAGAGAGAGAGAGAAAGAAAGAGAGGGAGAGGGGGGTGGGGGATAAAGATAGAGAGACAGTGAGAGAGGTTGAAAGAGAGAGGGGGAAAGAAAGAAAGAAAGAAAGAAAGGGAGAGGGGGGAGAAAGAAAGAGAGAGAGAGGAGAAAGAAAGAAAGAAAGAAAGAGAGAAAGAAAGAAAAGAAAAAGAAAGAAAGAGAGAGGGGGGAAATAAAGAGAGAGGGGGGGGAAGAGAGAGAGAGAGAGAGAGAGAGAGGGGGGGGGAGAGAAAGAAGAGAGGGAGAAAGAGAGGTTCAAAGAAGAGAGGGAGAAAGAGAGAGAGGGGGAGAAAGAAGAGAGATAGAAAGCAAAAGAGAGAGGGAGAGAAAGAAAGAAAGAAATGTAGAAGGAGAGAGAAAGAAAGAAAGAGAGAGAGGGAGGGAGAGAGAAAGAAAGAGAAAAAAGAGCGGGAGAGAGAGAAAGAAAGAGCTGTAGAAGAAGAGAAAGAAAGAAAGAGAGGGAGAAAGAGAGAAGAAAAGAGAGGGAGAAAGAGAGAAAGAAATAGAGAGAGAAAAAAGAAAGAGAGGGAAAGTGAGAGAGGGAGAGAGAGGGGGAGGGGGAGAGGGAGGGGGAGAGAGGGGAGAGGAAAGAGGGAGAGAGAAAGAGAGAGGGGAGAGAGACAGAGAAAGAATGAGGGGGGGGATGAGACTCTCAATGTAAAGAAAGAGGGAGAAATAGAAACAAGGAAAGAGAGGGAGAAAGAAAGAGACAGAGATGTCCGATTGTTACCTTCACCTGGCAGTCATAGGGAAGTATGAGCTGCCAGGAATAAGGATTCACTCCTCCAGCCGCAGCCTCTTCTTAAACTCCTGTCATAGGCGCCGCCACCCTAACAAACGCCTTGTTTGCCTTGCGGTAAATACGCCCTTGATCCTAAGACAGAAGGTGCGTTAAAGCTCAGATCACCAGGTCAATGTAAAAAAAGCCTAAAAAAAACTTGCCATGCATGCACAGGACTATAATTTACAGGTCAGATGAACTATGGAGAGAGATCAGGCTGCCCACTGGTTGCATCAGGTCTGAGAGTTCTTGAGAGGAGTGCTAAGGCAGGGTGGTGTGATGTTTTTAGAAAGCTATATACAGAGCCCTGTATATAGCCACACCCACCAGCCACAATCTTCCTGTATTGCATAGAGAAGCACAGAAGCCTAGTGATGACATCTCTGGATCTAACATAAGATATGTAATAAAAACTGAAAATGTTAATGTAACAAGTTGATTAGCATGTTGATAGTGGTGGAGAAAGGAAGGGGGGTAAATTCATCTTTAAAAACATCTTAGCCTCTCTAGTTGTTAATGGCAGGAAAACATGTTAAATCCATGTGCTGTAACTTTATTACACAAAATTACACAACATTAGATATTTTTTAGTTTTGCCGCCAGAAAAGAACTTAATACTTTCCAGTTCCTAGAAAATTATTTTGAAAATGAACCAGTTTAAATGTGTTGTTGCAGTTACTTGGACATTGTCCTGTTTGATGGGGCTCACAGTTTAATGGATACATTCACCGATATGTTTAAGAATGATATAGGAAGGCACATAGCCTGGGAGTTCCTTAAAGAGAACTGGCATCGGTTAAAGGATGATGCGTAAGTACTGCATTTATTGGACATCACACATTATCTATGTTGCTGTTGATTCTTTGCTTTCTGATCTGTAAAACTGCAAAAAATTGCACCTAACAAAAACTATATAGGCTGTGTACCCCATCTGTACAGTTCAGCCCTGGAAAGGAATGCAAGGAAACTGCAACGAGGATGGACTGCACAACAAGTGAGGATACACAAGGCCTCAACTGATATTTAGACCCTTGCGGACCTTATACGTTATATATAAATGTTCTGTGTATGCTCCTGCATGCATCCCCGATGAACCCTGCTGTTAAAGTGAAGTCCTCATTAGTGGGCAAAAATCAGAGCAGCCCCAGCTTTAATGATAACTACAGCAGCCAGTTGCTGGGATTGATCAGTGTATCTTTGTAAAAGTTACAGTACAGCAGATATGTTAGTTCATATCACCAGCTTGTTCTGTGATATCATCCTAGTGTAGCACTACCTCCTTAAGGGTTGCTTAGTAATTTTTGGGTCCTCTGTCAATCTGGACCTCTTGCTGAAAGCCCAACCTCTGTTGACACGACCGTGCTCTTGTGACCAAAATAAATCACAACTGTAAAATGGACACATAAGTTAGTATAAACCAATATGAAGTTTATATTGGAACTAAATGTAACTTGGTCAAAAAGAACAAAATGACACGGATATATGCAGCAAATATAATAATTCTTGGCAATTGTGAGAAAAAGTAATGACATTCACGGTAAAGCAACAAAAACTGTTAGCACGCCTGCTTTCAGAAATAATCCACTGCCTGCAATCTAAGGGGACTGCTGAATCCCCAGTGGGCAGGAACAATTATCAAGAAGCGGATAAGCTCACTGTGGGTCCTCAGAACTAGATGACAAGGATTAGATGTGAAGTAAAGGGAATTCTCATTTGTGTCTTTTGCTTGCTTGTTGGGGCCCAGTTGGTATGAAGTTGAGTTGAGGTGTGGAATATAGTTCCTCAGGATGGCAACACAAAGACAGTGAGGGAAAAGGGAAGATTTAACACTTTTCCTCTTGGTGGTAGCAAATTAGTGCGGGGTCCCACTTAAAGCAATAAACATAGGGCAGGATTGAAGTAATAAATAGCAACAATTGGCATAAGTGTCTATGGACAAAGACAACTCCCTCTGAAGATCAAAGGCAAAATGAACAGTAGTAGGAATCCTGTTTTTTTTAAAAAGGGAAACTTGTTGTTTCAGTTGGAACTGCTGTATTGTGGCCTGCAACTGTATGTCCCGCAGTCAGCTTGTACAATAAACTGTAATGCAGATGTATCTCAATGATAGCAGCTGGGAGAACTAGGCCGCAAACTGGGGCAACTATATGTAATGTTCACAACTGGTGTAGGCAGATAGCTGAGATGGAAAACTGTCAGTATTCACTTGGTTAGTGGGTGCATGGGTCTCTCTCACCTGATCAAAGTAGTCAGGAAGATCATAGTGGTCCATCTTTCCCTGCAGATGGGGTCAGTCCACAGACTCTCTAGCTCATACTCAGTGTTCTGTCTGGTCTCCTGCTGTCAGATCGCACTGCTGGGCAGCATGGCAGACTAGATGGTCAGTAGGCTCCTTTCGCTCTTCCTCTCTCTCCAACCCTGGCTTCATGGCCTAGTTCAGCACTTCAGCCATCGGCACACCTCCTTCTCCTTCAGTCTGTCCCTGCACTCTTCTGGCCAGTCTCCCGAGCTTTGATATTTATATGCCCCCACACACTACATTTCTTGGGAAATGTAGGCCCTGACTGCCCTGCTCACAAGCTGAGTCCTGCTGTTCAGCATACAAGTCCCAGAGTGCTGTTCTGTCCATGTGAGTGACCCTGAATGGCAGGCCACCACCATCTAATGTCCATATTTTTTTATTCATTCAAGATTTTCTCTTAAACTCCTTAAAGAGGAGCTTCAGTCAGGTTCCAAAAACTGTAGCTGCTGACTTTTAATAAGCAGACCATCACCTGTCCAGGAATCTAGCACCGTCCTCTCCTGGGCCAGTTCGTTGCTGGTCTTCAGGTCCCTGGCACCAGCATGTTAACTGTGAGAAGCCAACTTTGACTTCTTGCAGCTTCTCAACCAGCTTCCAACTGAACATGCACAAGCTGCGCTGCACCCTGTTAATGGTTCCGCAGCCTCCAGGGAACTGTGACGTTACAGAAGGTTGCTGGCAGTGATGGAAGACCAAACTGGGAGAGGGTAATGAAAAACCCAATATTGTAGAGGAAGCAGGAGGAAGAACAGAACCCCTTTTGGGTAAAGTTTCACTTTAAACACCCCTAATTAGCGATAATTAGCCCCCCAGTTGATCTCTTTATCATCTTATCTTTTCATTTTTTAGTGGTTCCATTTTTTTACTGCTTTATTTGTGTTCATTGCATAGTGTAGCTTTAAAAAAATACATTTGTTACTTTATCAGCTACACAAGGTGGGGGGTGCTGCAGTGCTATACACTTGCTGGCCACTTTATTTGGTACACCTGTTCAATTGCACAAATTGATAATCAGCCAATTACATGGCAGCAATTCAATGCATTTAGGCAACTAGATGTGGTGAAGATGACTTGCTGAAGTTCAAACTGAGCATTAGAATGGGGAAGAAAGGGGATTTAAGTGACTGTGAATGTGGCGTGGTTGTTGGTGCCAGACGGGCTGGTCTGAGTATTTAAAAAACTGCTCATCTACTGGGATTTTCACGCATAACCATCTCTAGGGTTTACAAGGAATGGCTCGAAAAAGAGAAAATATCCAGTGAGTGGCAGTTGTGTGGACCTTAATGCTTTGTTGATGTCAGAGAATTAGCAGACTGGTTTGAGATGATAGAAAGGCAACAGTAACTCAAATAAACACATGTTACAACCAAGGTATGCAGAATACCATCTCTGAACGCACAACACGTTGAACCCCGAAGCAGATGGGCTACAGCAGCAGACCATCACACTGCGTGCCACTCCTGTCAGCTAAGAACAGGAAACAGAGGCTACAATTCGCACAGGCTCACCAAAATCTAAGATTGTAAAAACATTGCCTTGTCTGATGAGTCTTGATTTCAGCTGTGACATTCAGATGGTAGTGTGACGGGCGGTGTCAGACCCCAGCCCTTCTCACCAACTTGTGAATGAAGGACTAGCCAATCTAAAACCGCGCTGCCACTTGCGTAACAATGCCACTCTCAGCTGCACCCTGCACAAAGATTTTCCAGCTCGCGGGACCACAATCTATGTGCCAGTTGTGAGAGCGATTGTTACTAGGTCAGGTTAATTACGCAATTAACCCTTCACACTGCCACCACCACCTTTTTACAGAGAACGAGGAAACACACAAATCTTAGCAGTAACATTATGTTTGAATAAGCGTCTGTATACACACTGTCACCGCAGACAGATGTATCCAGAGGTTTTATAACACACAGTAGCACTCTTCAGAGACAGGGATTCTTAGTTTGCATTAAAGAGCTTTAGAAACAGTTCAACACTTTTCAGAAAATAGGATTTATTACTAAAAAGGTCAAAATGGTGCAATAAAAATATTTACAGAAAAGATGTAACAACTATATATATACAGTTGTGTTCAAAATAATAGCAGTGTGTTGAAAAAAGTGAATAAAGCTCAAAATCCTTCTAACAGCTTTTATTTCCATACACACAAATGCATTGGGAACACTACACATTCTATTCCAAATCAAAACATGAAGAAAAATATATCAAATTTGTGTTGTTCCTCTAAACAAATTGAAGAAAAGTGAATATTAGACTGTTCAAAAAAATAGCAGTGTTTGTATTCTTCTTTACAAACTCAAACATTCACTATATAAACTGAAAAATGTTTGAAGATTTTGCTTTCCTTTGAATCACTTAATGAATATTTAGTTGTATAAGCACTGTTTCTGAGAACTGCTGTACATCTGTGTTGCATGGAGTCAACCAACGTCTGGCACCTGTGAACAGGTATTCCAGCCCAGGATGATTGGACTACATTCAACAGTTCTTCTCTATTTCTTGGGTTTGCCTCAGAAACTGCATTTTTGATGTCACCCCACAAGTCTTCTATTGGATTAAGATACGGCGAATGGGGCTGGCCACTCCATAACGTCAATCTTGTTGGTCTGGAACCAAGATGTTGCACGTTTACTGGTGTGTTTGGGGTTGTTGTCTTGTTGGAACACCAATTTCAAGGGCATTTCCTCTTCAGCATAAGGCAGCATGACCTCTGCAAGTATTCTGATGTATTCAAACTGATCCATGATCCCTGGTATGCGATAAATAGGCCCAACACTGTAGTATGAGAAACATCCCCATATCATGATGCTTGCGCAACCATGCTTCACTGTCTTCACAGTATACTGTGGCTTGAATTCAGTGTTTGGGGGTCGTCTGACAAACTGTCTCCGGCCACTAGACCCAAAAAGAACAATCTTACTTTCATCAGTCCACAAAATGTTGCGCCATTTCTCTTTAGGCCAGTCAATGTGCTCTTAGGCAAATTGTAACCTCTTCAGCACATGTCTTTTTTTCAACAGTGGGACTTTGCGGGGGCTTCTTCCGGATAGCTTGCCTTCACATAGGCGTCTTCTAATTGTAACAGTACTCACAGGTAACTTTAGACCTTCTTTGATCTTCCTGGAGCTGATTGTTGGCTGAGTCCTTGCCATTTTGGCTATTCTTCTATCCATTCGAATGGTAGTTTTTCGCTTTCTTCCACATCTTTCAGGTTTTGGTTGCCATTTTAAAGCATTTGCGATCATTTTAGCTGAGCAGCCTATCATTTTCTGCACTTCTTTATATGTTTTCCCCTCTCCAATCAACTTTTTAATCAAGGCACACTGTTCTTGTGAACAATGTCTGGAATGACCCATTATCCTCAGAATTTCAGAGAGGAATGCACTGTAACCAGCATGTACAACATTTGCTGCCTTCCTTCCTTAAATAAGGGCAATAATTGCCACCTGTTTTTCAAAGAATGAATGACCTCACTAATAGAACTCCACACCTATTATTTTGAACATGCCCCTTTCAATTAGTGACTCAATTACACAGAATCAGCAGCATGCATGTCATGACTGTTGGGTCGGTTGGATTTCTATTACTCTACTACACCTGCTAGTAAATTATTTGCCATGTAGAAATATAATTTCTACCAAAAACAGTGATTGATCAGGTTAGTGATGTCTGACTGCTATTATTTTGAACACAACTGTATATATATAAATAGAGAGAGCAATAACACAACAGAGAGATAAAGAAAGAAGTTTAAGAAGGTAGAATACTTGCAGAAGTCCTGGTTTAGGCAGAGTTCAAGTGTCCGGAACAAAAGGGTACCTTTTCTCCCGAAGTTGGTTCCTGATGTTAAAAGGAAGAATCTCTTCACCCTTCTCCAGGCATGACAGCCTTTTTTCTAGGAACCCAGCAGGGTGTCTCCTTAAAGCAGAGAACTCACACTATGACCAAATCCTTCACTGGTTTATACCATGGTCAATAACCTTCTATAGGTACATGTAGCATCATAGTCACTGGCAGATTATTATGCAGAATGATATCCTGAATGTCCAGACATCAAATATGACATATCTTACCATTCCAGATAAGGACATATTGCTTTCTACTCTCGTGTAGGTGCCACATAGGGGTGTAAGGTATCAGGTGACTCGTATTAAACCGACCTATCTGAATATATGCTTTGTTTTATTGTACCTTGTTCCTATTGGGAGTTATGAAATTGTATGAAAACGTGGTTTCAAGTGGGATGTATTTTTTACTGCCATTCTGGAATGCTTTTCATGTCCAGTGACGGACTGATTTATAGCTTTACGACCAGGCCAAGGCAAGAGCCTGACAGACATCCTGGAACCAGGTAATTGGGTTTACAACCATGAAGCATATCCAGCTGTGCCCTGTGTACTCCTGAACTCAGCACACACACAGACTACATTCCCTGCAAGGGGAGGGGCTGGAGGGACAGAGAATGATATTTGCAGAGTATGATACAAGATGGTGGATCTTTAACAAAATGGTTGTCCACGTCCAATCGCCACAGGTAGGGACAGAATTTGGCATAAACAGCATAAAAACATGGATCCATCCTGTCTTGTATCAATGGTTCAGGCTGGTGATGGTGGTGTGATGGTGTGGGAGATATTTTCTTGGCATACTGTGGGTCTCATAGTACCAACTGAGCATCGTTTAAATGCAACGGCCTACCTGAGTATTGTTGCTGACCATGTCCATCCCTTTATAACGACAGTGTACCCATCTTCTGATGGCTACTTCCAGCAGAACAATGCACCATGTCACAAAGCTCAAATCATCTCAAACTGGTTTCTTGAACATGACAATGAGTTCACTGTACTCCAATGGCCTCCACAGTCCACCAGATCTCAATCCAATAGAGCACCTTTGGTTTGTTGTGGAACAGGAGATTCGCATCATGGATGTGCAGCCGACAAATCTGCAGCAACTGCTTGATGCTATCATGTCATTACGGACCAAAATCTCTGAGGAATGTTTCCAATTCCTTGTTGAATCTATGCCACGAAGAATTAAGGCAGTTCTGAAGGCAAAAGGGGGTCCAACCCGGTACTAGCAAGGTGTACCTAATACAGTGGCCATTGAGTGTAGATTCCTTGTCCAGAACTCAGCCACTTCTCTACTTCTCTGATTTTGAATACAGAACAAAGTTCTTAAAGCCCAACTCCATGTTTTAGTAAACTTCAAATGATTTGTTTGGACCAAGCTGGTATAAACTAACTGTTTTCTTCACTAAAATATGCAGCAGTTGTCAGCACTTTATGAGCCTCAGCTACAAACAGTATGCAGGACTATGTTCTGGCAGTGGTACAGGGACTTCCCTTCCAGCTCCAGGTAAAAAAATCAAGTTTGGCTGAGCACTGCTCAGCCTTTCACAGGAAACTTTGTATTCTTTGAATGAATACAAGGCTTCCACTGATTGGCTGAGGCAGAGAACAGGCACATTATTTTGTTCCGAGTGTGGGACAGGAAGACCTCATCCTGCTGCCAGAATACTGTAATGATGCATACTGTATGTAACTGAGGCTACCTACAGTTCATACAGTGCTGACAGTCGCTGCATGTGTTAGTAAAGGAAATAGTTTGTTTGGACCAGCTTGGTCCAGATGAACTATTTACACTTCACTAAAACCTGGAGTCAGGCTTTAATGGTGTTTTGGGCACGTAACTGAGAGGGCCTGCAGAAGGAGGTGACACGGTCTACTAACTCCTGTTACATGTGGACATCATTCTTAATATAAAGCTGTATTTGTTTGTTTTTCAGGTCTGTGGGAGAAACCGAAATACTTTTTGAAAAATTAGTAACAGATTTGGGATGGAAAGCTACATCAGAGCTGCAGTTTCAAGAGGTGAGGCCACACACAAGGTCTCATTCACTGGGTTGCTGTATTTTGATGCATAGGCGCTGATTTACTAAAGGAGTTGAGAATGTTCACTCAGTAAATAGTGTGAAGATTTACTTCAGTTGCCTAATCATGGTAAAAGAAAATTCCTGTTTACTTATTTTTTGTGCATGATTGGATAACTGAAGTGAATATTTACACAATGTATTCATTCTCTGTCTAATTCTTCTTCCCCTCATCAGTGGTCTCCTTGGTTGTCTGATATTGGCCTGGATCAGCAGAGGAATGTACAGCAGCAGTGGGAGTAGAGTGCTGCTTAACCTCCATAAGGAACAGCTCTGATCCTCCTGAAGAGCTTTGCAGCATGCATACGAAGGTTGGAGCTGCAGTGTGCTCCCCTTAATCTGGCCTATCAGGTGATCAGCAACTGATGGAGCCATTGCTTCCCTATTCACATCTGAAGCTAGCCATATACAGCTGGAATTATGGTGATTCCTCTGAATTAATTGAAATTTGAGCCATGGGAGGCTCTACTGACACCACCCGGCTCTATGAACTTTGATTGAGAAATCAAAGGAACCAGGCGGAAAAAGGTCAGTGGGTGGTGGCTGTCAGAATATAGTAAGCAGGCAGCAGGAGATTCATCTGTTTAGCATTTATGGGGCACTCTATGGATTTTTCTCATCCAGCCCAGCATGTATGGCCAGCTTAATACAAGTTAAAGTAAATATATACCACAACTGGATGACATTTTGTTTGCTGAAGCAAGTTGCTTCACTATTGACTGTGCAGTAATGTTTAGGACCAGCTTCCTGATAGTAAGAATGGTGAACTGTGCCTGTGCAATGTGAGTCAAGTACAGATGACAGGGTGACAATGCAGGAGCACAATTGTGAGACAGTGGTCACACCATAACAGGAGGTGCCTGAATAGAGATCTTTAGCAATTGCCAGGTATTGTTTCATTACACGGTACTGATGCATGACTCTCAGATATTCCTGGCAGAAAAATTGCGAGAATGGGCTGTATAGCACTTGTGTGTATTTGATCACACGCATAAAAATTCTTTTAGTTTTTTTAGCTTTTTATTTTTTTAAATTAAGGGAAGGTGTCATATGATTATTATTATAATACAGGGTTTATATAGCGACAACAGTTTGTGCAGCGCTTTAGAAAATGAAGGCATATGCACATATTTGCACTAACTTGTACAAATACTTAAACACTGATGTATGAGCCTCAGATATTCCAGGCAAACAATTGGGAGAATAAGCTGTATAGCACTTGTGTGTATTTGAGCATATGGGTTCACATGCATAAACATTCTTCTAGCTTTTTTTAAATCAAGGGAAGGTGTCATATTATTATTATTATACAGAATTTATATAGCACCAACAGTTTGCGCATCACTTTACAAAATGAAGGAATATTCACGTATTTGCACTAACATGCACGTATGTAAAAATACTGATTTGCGATGCAAATTTTTATTTTTATTTTTTATATACACAGCATTTTACAGGCCCATTAAAAACAATGGGCTGCATTTAGCTTAGTAAAGAAAAATGCCTGAATGCCTACAAACTTTGCATTTTAAGCCATCCTGTGTGCAAGAGGCCTAAAGCTGCAGATTTTAAAAAACTGAAGGCTTATTTGAGATTTTGGTGATCCGAAATGCAGGTTGTATCTACCATAGACTATGCTATGTCTGTTTTTCAGAGAAAAAACAAAGGGTCCTAGTTTGACCCCACAATGACTAAATCACATAAAGCTGAACTCCATGCACAAAAAAATAACTTTGATAAATTCCTCAATAGCAGCAAAGCATATAAATCCACTGTGTGTGTCAAATGCCTTTCCAAACCAAGACATTACTTTGTAAAATTAGCGTAAACAGCTTGTGCAAAAAACAGAGCTGTGGAAGGGACCATGCAGGCTCCATCCACAGTAAGCTGCCTGCAAAAAAAACACAGAAGGGGCACATTCAAGACCAGTCACCCTGCACAGAGCAGTGACTGGTCTTTATTACAGGAAGCTCCCGCACAGAGGAAATGTTGCACACTGGATAACTGCACAGATCTGGAAAAAATACACAAAGCATACCAAGATTCAAGTAAGAATACAAATGACTGTTATGTTTAAACAAATAATTGCTTATCCGGGAGTCCAGCTTTAAAGATTTATTATAGCAACTGAAGTAAAATGTCTGAATGAACGTAATGCCATACTCCAGTTTCCATGCTAAAGACTCAACATACCTTTTACATAAGAATAGGGGCTTTCCATTTCAGCAATGTGGCTATGATTTGCAAATCTCACTGGAATCCACTGAATTTATCTGTAACTTTTTTTAAAAATAAGGAACCTTTGTGTGTTCACTTTGTGAATTGAGCCTTCTAAGTCGTAATTAGGTCCCATATTCAGTATGAAATATGTAACATGTTTAAAATCATACAGGCTGATATCAGCACAGCCAGAGGCCCACATCCTTGCATCCCTTTTGTTATGGAAATGTAAGTCCATATGCTTTCTGTGCCAGATGTTTATAATTTACGGCATGGTAAAAAGATAATTAAGAATGCTCTGCAGAATCATTGGATCAACTGCTGGGCCAAGTTTTATTTACACACGCTAGGCATACTTTTCACCCACTTGTGACAGTACTTGAGCCTGGCGACTGACCAGTCACCCAGCAATGCATTGTGGGACATCATTAGAGGGTACCTGCTATAGACTTTGGGAGTTATTTGGGATTTCTTTTTTAACACATTTACTGCTTGAAACAGGTTTTTTTTTTACTCTAACAGCTTTCAAAAGTGAAACTATAACTGTGTATTGGTTTTGTTTTAAGATGCAACTCTTCATCACCACTGCTATGGATGAAAGTTTTCAGGAAAATGAAGTACAGAGGTTAGAAAGAAGAAAGAAAGCTCGCCTAGAGTGGGTAAATATTGTGAATACGAAGATTATTGACTGGTTACAGAAGAACACACTGGATTCGGATTTATGAGACCTCTCATTTACATCACAGATTACAGGATTTTATAGCCTTTTTCTAAAGAATATTCTCTAAAATTGCCAACTATTTTTCATCTAGACTGCTGAATTTGTATGATATATATTTTTTTACAACTTGTAAGAATGTGATTAAATATGTGCCGATTTACAGTTTTGTACATTGTATCTTTGCAAATGAAAAAAAATAATTTATTAATTAAAACTCTGTTTTTGATTGGGTTAATTGTATCAAATAAAAATGGATTCCTGGGATAGTTACAAACCTTTCAGCCACTCATAAAAGACATGTAGTTGGTGTTTTAGGGTCTCTGCCCAGGCTGCAAAATATCTGCCATGTTTTCCTTCTTTTAGTGTTGCTTTGTGTTGATGTCTTTTTAATGTATTTTTCATCAGCAAATGGGTCGTACTCCTATAAAAGAGACATTATTACTTTGCCCAATTCGGACAAAGTGACATTATCTGCAGCAGGGTCATGTTCTGAAAGCAGTAGGCTTGGGTACAAGATCATAAGTTGGGCTCCGTTACTCAAGAAGAGAAAGAAAGAGGTGGTGCACTGTGGTGGCCAACAGTGAGAGGGGCCTTAAAACATGAGCCTTTGTACAAAGTGCAGGGGTTAGACATATGCGATGTATTGAGTGCAGGTGTTAGGGGTGGGTCACACACAGAGTGCCAGGGTCAGGATGCATACACTCTGCAAACACACTGTGTATACACTATACTCACTGCATAAACACATGCATACACATGCACATTTCTCACCTATGTCAGCTGCTGACTGTCCACTTCGGGCTCTGAATACTAGAAGAAACTGCAGCTCAGGTAAGAAGTGCTCTTCTCCTTCATGTGGTCACCCAGGCACTTTCCAAACACTTTTCTCTACCTTGCCTCTTCTCTGCCCGCTCCTGAAGCACCTCAACAGGATCCCTAGGCTAGACCTAACCAGGCATCCTTCTAGACATGCCCAATCAGCACTTTTCCCTTTCATCCAGTGGGCGATGCAGACTCTCTTGTGCTGTCAGACGCTGGCATATCGCCAATGTGTGCAGTGAATGAGAAAACAGTGGGCCCCATCACATTTGTAGAATACACCACTGATCTGCAGATATCCCACCCTCCCAGGCTTTTATATGTACAGAGCAATGCTTCCTTACTTCCCTCATGCTTGGTGTCAGAGCTTAGACAGGGGGGCAATATCAGAACACCCCCCATCACATGATAGTGTTCAGGGCCCGGAGATTTTCTCAAGCGCAAACATTGTAACATAGGGGAGGTCATGTGCTGCCTGCTGCCCCATATGTCATAGCAGCTACTGGACCTACAGCTTTCCTGTGTTCATTAACTTTCTAATTGCAAACATTGCAGGACTCATAATACATATTTAAAACAAAAATCATGGTATACTATCTTGAAAATCCACACTCAAACCCCTATTTTTTTACATTCCAATGAACAACTCTATCCATGGGCAAATAGCTGCGTAAATTGATGGCGCTAATAAAGTATATGTAATAAATAAAATAAATAAATATATTCATATTGAAGCACCTATGTTATGTGTTTATTCTAAGTTATGAGTCTCTTATGTAAAATAATAAATCAAGATACAATGTATGATTTTGTCCTGTGGCTGCAATACTTCGTTATTTTCCTTGTTTGTAAGTGTGTTTCACTAACTCAAGCATAACAGCCCCATGTTTTATAAGAGCCATCATTATGATCCATATTGTAACCTATATACAGTATATGCCCATCAAATCTAGATGCAGGTTTATATGACACATATTTTCTGATGCATCTAAACTATTGTCAGCAAAATATATTTTTCTATTATTATACATACTATATTGTCTTATACATATACTTGTACAAAAACATCTAATTTGAGATAAAGCCAAACAATACCTTTATTTTTACTTTGGACAGAGTGGAAAAGATATAACACCTGTCCAGGAAATCTCCCAATTGGGGACAAATGGCAACAAAAGACTATTTTTCAACAAAACAAGGAAGGCTTAGAACGTCTGTCAAATTATTTATTACCGTCTGTATCTTCCAGTGACAGCTACACCTCTGATTTTTTTTTCATGCTGACAGGGGACAAAAAGTCAAGTCAAATTTGTCCAACAAGCGCCCTACTTTACTGTTGGGCTACTTATTTGTGCAGCCACTGGCTCATTTGAGGGCCCATTCACCAAAACACACAAATTTTACACTCTTTTTTTTCCCCCAAAGAATACCCTAGCGCATTGTACAGTAGAAGCCAATGCACACTGCTATTAATGCTCAGCAGCACACCACAGCATATATTCCATGTGTTGTGGTATGCTGCATTTTTAAAAAAAGTTATGTGCATTTATTCATCCGTTGTGGTACATTGACAGCCCATTCATAATGAATAGGCTGCCCTAATGCATCACATGTTCGTGCATTAGCACACCGCAATATGTAATTTAAAGTACAACTAAAGGCAAAACTTTTTTTTTACGTTTTTGACATAGTAGAGATGGATTAGCACCCCTGTTAGTTGTTACAGATGTTTGTATGCGCGTTAGGGGGAGATTCACCCTCTGTGTTTGTCCTTTTTACCTTTATCATTGAAAGTGAAAGTAAAAGAAAATCCAAATTTTGAGCTGTCGCCAGAAAAGTAATAGAGGGGAAATCTTCCAATGGAGACACTAGTTCTTGAGACATGGGGGTCCCCAAGGGATTCCCTTGGGAATTCCCAATTTGAAGCAGATGGGAAAAAAATAAACTGATGGGAGTTATGACCCTCCCATACTCTATCCAAAATGGAAAAAAAATTGTTGCCTATAGTTCTACTTTAAGTGTGAATGGGACCTTAGTAGAGATGAGCGAATTATTC